TCCCAGGCAGGTGTATATAAGGATGGCCCCAGGAATGTGATGTCGACTTATAGCTTCTTGTTTCTCTGTTTGGCGCCGCCCTCAGAAGAAGGCGTTGGCTCCCCATGAACCAGACCAAAAATTGCGTTTGGACGCTGCGGACCTTGCTCGCATGGGGCTCTTGGGGACCCTTTCACCAAGGGCGGGCTTGGATGGTGGGGCTTGGAGGCACAAACAGAACGGGGCACCGGGCCCATCAGGGGTGCGACGTGCTGCCGACCTCCGAGCTGTGTAGCCACCGTGGGGGGGGGGGGGGGGGTGTAGGCCTTGCCTTGAGTTTCGGGTTGAGGGGTTTAGGGTTGAGGGTTGGCCGTTTTCTATAAAGAGGCTTGCGTGCGCTCCTGCGGCTGAACTCCGGAGGAACTGTTGCTTCTTCGTGTGCCACCTTCTTTTCGAGTTCAGGGTGCACAGAAGGTCTTGGGGTATAAGGGTCTAGGGGTTTAGAGTCTAAAGCTGCGTAGGGTTTAGGTTTAGGGTTTTAGCATCTAGGCTTTAGGGTTTTCAAGGGAGTCAAGCTTGGACCCTTAGAATGTACTCCTAATATGGCCCGTATATTCCCTCTTAGAGGATCTTCAAGAAGGGTCCGCACACCCCGCTGAAAGAACTCCAAGGCTGCGCCAGCGCACGCACACCTCCAGAGGAGGTGCAGCAGGCGCCGGGGTGGGGGGTGGGGGGGGGGGTTTAGGGTTTAGTGTTTAGGGTTTAGGGTTTAGGGTTTAGGGGGTCGCCTCGACACGCTCTGTCTGTTACCAGGAGATAGGGTTTCATGTAGACAACTTGTCACTTCTCACAACAGGGCCTCTTGCCCTGGACTCCGTCCTGTCCGATAAACCCTGAGCGCTGTCAACCCTAATAGCCCTAAACCCCTCAACCCAAACGGATCCCGATCAAAAGTGCACAAAGCTCTCTCCACGCGACTTTGGTTTCCTATAGTACAGTATAGGCTTTAGGATTTAGAAGGTAGGGTTTGTGGTTTAGGGTTTAGGGGTGCATGCAAGAGGTTTACGGATGGTTTACGGTGTAGGGTGGGTTGCAAACGCAAAGCTCCCCCAATCCTGCTTATACCTTCTCCTTAGAGCTTTTCTCTTTTTGGGGCCCCCCCTTTCTTTTTGGGGCCCCCTGGGTCCTGGAGAAATCATCCCTAAACCTCATGCTCGTGTTGTTCTGCATTAGGCCAGAAAACCCGACCCCCCGAACCCTAAACCCCCAACTCGCAGGTTCAAGCGGCCCTTAGTCCGGTCCCTTACGGCCCGTATGTATAGTGTATATAGGGGTTCTTTAGCAAGGGACCCCATTTCAGGGCCCAACCCCAACCCCCCCCCCCACAGACTCAAAACCTGAAGCTTGGCGTGGTGGCAGGCTCTGGGCGCACATGCGGAGGGAGCCCTGCGTGCGGGAGTGGGCTTCGAGGCGCCAGGTTGAGATAAGGTAGGGCGTTAGGGCTGCTAGGGTATGGGGTTCAGGGTGTAGGTGCAGGGTTTAGTAGTACAGGGGATTTAAGCTTCGGGTTTTTGGAATTGGGGGCTTGCTGAAGGCTTTGGGAATATCTGGCAGAGGGATCAGTCATGATGAGCCTGACATTCCTTCACGGGCCTCTCAAGGTACGCAAGAGACTCACAGCTTGTGTAGTAAACGAACACACAGGGTTCTGTTCCAGCTTGTAACCTTAAACCTTCGGGTTTTCGGAGTTTAGGGTTTATTGTAGGGCGTATGATCAAAGTTCTAGGGATCACTTGAACCGAGGTTAGTTTGGTGAGACGCTCTCAGGGTATTCGCGACTCAGGAGCGGACATAGTCGACAAGCTCGGAAGGCCGTTTAGGGTTTAGGGTTTAGGGTTTTTAGGCAGGGTGAGAAGGGTGTGTGCAGGAGATAAGCTGGACTGTTAAGGCTTTGGGACTATGGGAATTTAACGGCTTGGGGGCTTCAGGCGACACTTATAGCCCCCGAATCCTTAAATGCCCGTAAGCCCTAAACCCTAAAACCCAAAACCCTAAACAAACCCTAGCCCGAAACAGGCCCAAAAGCCCCCAAAAACTCCCCTTCCCCCCAACCCCCCAACCCCAACCCCTCAACCCCCCAACCCCCCAACGCCCCTTGACAGGCCTTGCTCAGCATCACCAGATCGGTGTCCTTCCTCCACAGCGGCAGGTGGGAACACTAAACCCTAAAACCTAAACCCTTGACCCTAAGACGTGGGGGGTGGAATTCCGGAAGCGGTGTCGGTCCTGCGTTCGGGCCTATGGTGTTGAATTCCGGGCTAAGAGTTTTGGATTTTTGGTGGGATCACACGCTCTGCTCAAAGCTCCTGCACATGTTTTCTCCTTCAGAAGCAGCTGCATTAAGGGGCAAGGGTTTAGGGTTTCGGGTTTAGGGTTTAGGGTTTAGGGGCCTGGGCTTGCTTGGTGTTGGTATCTGGGGGTGAGCGGGTGTTTAGGGTTCCGGTTTCAGGTTTAGGTGTTGCAGCCCCCTTCACGCTGAGGAAGGGATTTGGACCATTAGCTCCCGCAAACCCTCAAGCCCCAGGGTTTAGGGTTCAGGGTTTAGGGAAAGCCCTAGGGTCAAAAGCCCTCAACCCGAAACCTTGAGCCCCCAAGCCCTTAAACCTTAGGGCTTAAGGGTTTAAGGGCTTAAGGGTTTAGGGTTTAGGGCTAACCTTCAAGCCCTTAAATCCTAAAGCCCCTTAAAGGCCCTCCACAGCGCTGTCTCCCTTGGTGCGCCTCCTGGTGCACACGGCCGAGGCGTGGGGTTTATCTGAGCGTCCCCCTCCCCATGGAGCCTGGCTACGATAAGGTGTTTAGGGTCTAGGTTTAGGATTTAGGGTTAGGGTTTGGGGTTTAGTGTTTAGGGTCTAGGGTTTGGGTTTAGGGTTTAGGTGACATACGGTCTAGGTTTATGTGTAAGTACAAAGGCGGCAGAGGGTGTAGTCGTCTCACTCAAGCACCCGAACCGCAAGACTTAAGCCCTCGAACCTGGAATTGGAAACCTTCCATCCCAACACTAAATCTAAACCCTAAACTCTACAAAGCTTATGAACATCCTCAGTCCTAAGACCTTAAACCCCATGTCCGCCCCTCCCCTGAAGCCCTATGGTTGAGGTTTTAGGGTTTGGGGTTTAGGGTTTAGGGTTTAGGGCTTAGGGTTTAGGGCTTAGGGTTTAGGGTTTAGGGTTTAGGGTTTAGGGTTTAGGGTTTAGGGTTTAGGGTTTAGGGTTTAGGGTTTAGTTGCTCACGGTTGAGGATTTGGAGCTGCCCAATAATGTAGGAAGCTACCATCCAGGCCCACAGGGACCCGGTGGAGGTTCGCCGGCTGGTGCAGGTCTTCGCCAAGATGCCAGGCAGCGGGGTTCGATTTGGGATGTTCAGGGAGTATAGGGGTTCCAGCCCCTCAACCTCAAACCTCCCGAAGCCCTAAACCCTAAACCCTACGCCCTAAACCCTAAACCCTAAACCCTAAACCCTAAACCCTAAACCCTAAACCCCTAGATTTGAGGGGTGAGGGTTTGGGGGCTTCAGGGCCCAGGGCATCCCAAGTTGTCTTGTTTCTTTGGAGTCGAGTGTTTGAGGGTTTGGGGTTGAGGGTTCAGAGTTTGAGGTGTTCGGCTAGGAGTACTACAGGGGTCGGTATAATAACTATCCGTATTCCCTTCTGGTCCGTATATATATGCATATATATATATATACACTATCAAAACCCCCAAAACCGCATTCTAATTGTGAAGGCCCGGATATGAGGAGTCTTGCGGTTTTATGATCCCGGGCTGGTGGTTCGTTTGCAGAGCATGCAGACCACGGTGCCATAGCAGAAGCCCTATGCCCTATGCACTGTCAGCCGTCGCCGAGACGCACGGCCTGCAGGCTTCAAGACCATTTTCCACACAGTCATGTTTGTGCTGGACCTCTACCACCTGCTTCGCAGCCATGCATCTTATGCTGCAGTCAGACGTGCCTACGTGCATCTCCTTTTTGTCGAAGCCTTGCGCCATAACCTTCCAGAGATTGCGTTTCAGTACATGATTTCCTTCATCCCGGCCGCGCAGTACACCGCCAGACTCTTGCATGTCTTCCACACAATCATTCTGCGACCACAGGTGCTGCGTCTGGGCCACAGCGTTGAGGTCGACACCCTCCTGACGACCTTCGGCGTCAATCCCAACAAACTACCGAAAGTGGACCTCTGGAGCAATGTCTTGCCAAAGCCTCATTTCGTACCGTGGAAGGAGCCGCCACGCCCTGCGGGAGGACATTCGAATCATAGGGTTTAGGTTTCCGGGTTTAGGGTTTAGGGTTTAGGGTTTAGGGTTTAGGGTTTAGGGTTTAGGCTTCCTCCAGCATCTCCGTGTGCAAGGGCAAGGTTGCTGGCTGATGTTTGATGAGACTTGCTCAGGGCGTCATTGGGGCTCATCGGGGCTATTGGGTTTGTATATCTTTCCAAGCTAGGATCCCTGAACCCCACTTGGAACAGTTCCTGCCTGCCCCAGGGTTGAGGAAGTGGTCTGGGGGTTAGTATAGTGTAATTCTAAAGGGTTTAGGGTTTAGGGCTACTTTAGGGGCCTTAATAAATAGAATAGGGGGTTTTGGAGGTTCTTATAGTATAGTCATAAAGGGACCATAAGGGAACACTCGTAATTATTCGGGATTTTGGGATTTCGGGGTGTTTATACTGGAATTCACCGTAAACCCCAAAACCCTGAACCCTAAACCCTAAACTCTAGACCCTAAACCCATGCGCGTGACTCGGCCCTTCATGGCAAGGCGTAGGAGATGACCACACCGTCATCAACAGACCCTGAAGTAAACCCTAAACCCTAGAACCCAAAAACCCTAAAACTCTAAGACCCTACAACCCTAAAACCCTGTCATGCAAGTTATAGAGGGTCATAGGACTTAGGGTTTACGGTTGTAAGACCACTCGCTACAAGCCCCCGCTACTATCCCCCAAGCTCCCTCCAGTGCCTGTAGGCATGGAGCCCCGCCGCTTCCTCGAGTCAGCTACAAAATGCTGGGCGGGCGATGCCCCCCTTCATGCCAAGGACACTTAGGGTTTAGGGTTTAGGGTTTAGGGTTTAGGGTTTCGGGGGTTTTGGGGTTGAAGGGTTGAGGGTTTAGCGCTTCCGGGGTTTTATGGCTTAGGGCTTCAGAGGTTCAGGGGGTTCAGGGGGTTTTAGAGTTCAGTGCTTGGCGATTTCTTTTTTTCTGGGGGGGGGGGGGGGGGCTAGAGAGTAATGAGGGCGGATCTACCATGAACATTGAATCCACAGACCTTGTTTTCAGACCGCCATAAACGCGGCCGGTGTGTGTGTGTGTGTGTGTGTGTGTGTGTGTGTGTCTGTCTGTCTGTCTGTCTGTGTGTGTTTCGAGTTGTTCAGTTGGCCGATGTTTGTCCCAAAATCCCAGACCTTGAGCCCCCAAACCCTGAACCTAAATCCTAAACCCTAAGCCCTGACCCCTAAACCCTAAATCCTAAACCCTAAATCCAAATAATCGTGAGGCTTGACAGGATGTTCTGTCATCGGCTTTTGAAGTGGGACCTGCCGGAATTTGGCACTCCACCCCGGCGCCCATGTGCTAGTTCGGGTGTAGGGTTTAGGGTTTAGGGTTTAGGGTATTTAGGGTTTAGGGTTTAGGGTTTAGGGTTTAGGATAATTAGGGCTTTTTTGGCTTAGGGTTGCGGGTTCGGGCTGAGGGTTTAGCAAGGGTTCTTGCTGCGCTTAAGCATCCAAGTCAACATGATCTTCAGAATCCGCATCAGGAATCAACCCCAAACCCAAAACCCGAAACCCGAAATCGGTGAAAAGTCAGTCCCAGGCCAGGTGGTTGCGTCAGAAACATGGGGAGTTAGACTGTAGTTTATTGGGCTTGCAGGGTTTAACATTGATATGCTAGTGGGGTTTATATATGGGCTTTATATACATATCCGGGTGTTGGGTTTCAGGTTTTTAAACCCTAACCCTAAACCCTAAACCCTGAACCCTGAACCCTAGAGTTTGGGGATTAGGGGCTCTCGTGGTGACTTGCCACTGCAGCCATGTTAGCAGGGCAAATCGCGGCCCAAGTATGCAAGAGAGCAATAATCCCACCCTTTCTGGGTTTAGGGTTCAGGGTTTAGTGTTTAGACTTACCCTGCGCAGGAATGGAGCTTGTCCCTCAACGCGTTTGCACGCACGCAGCTGTCGCCAAAGCTTGCGCAGGCGGCAACCGCGCAAATTCCTGAATTGATGGGTCCAACTGGCTGTGTAGGTATTTCTTCGGGATACTTGGAAATATGTTTGAGTTTTTTGGGCACTTTAATTCCTAAGAAACAGCTAAAATCATAATTCTTGCTAGGGTTCCAAGTTCAGTATAAATTTACGGTTCTTGCGATGTGGCGCCTCCAAGTCACTAGGTGAACCTCAAGCTCCAAACCTCAAAGCCCTGTTCCCAAAAGCTTTAAGCCCTAAAGCCCTAAACCGTAAACCCTAAACCCTAAACCCTAAACCCTAAACCCTAAACCCTAAACCCTTAACCCTAAACCCTAAACCCTAAACCCTAACCCGCTTTAGCTCATGCCAGGCACTGCTGGAGGAGAACTTGGCGATGCTGGAGAGCCACGACTTCAGGACGAGGGGCTTGAGGTTGGGAGGTTGCCCCCTTTTTCCTAGCAGCTCCTTAATAGTATTGTAGTATTGTGATATTTTGATACTATAGTATTATAACATTATAGCATTTTCGTATGATAGTATTATGGTATCATGGTATTCTAGTATTTTCGTATCATAGTATTATAGTACTAGGGGGTACTAAGATCCCTACTAAGGACTGTTAGTTTCAGGGGGAACATCTCAGGGCTTCGGGTTCAGATGTGCAGTTAATGGTTGAAAGAATTTGGGCTTTTTGGGTTGCAGCGGCTCCACATTTCACACGTAGCCCTAAACGAACCCTCGAAACCCTCTTGGAATCGACTGTTTGTTTTTGGGTGGCCTGGCGTTCGCAGTGCAGAGTGCTTGGATTTGCCGCATACATTCCCGAAGCGCCAAGCTCTAAACCCTGAATCTTCAACCCTGAGCCCTGCACGAACCCGGCCCTGGGTCTTCTTAAACTCCATGAGGCCCTAAGGCTCGATGCAAGCTCCTGAAGCCTAAACCCTTAAACCCCAAAAGCTTAAACCCCTAAAGCCCTAAACCCCAAAACCCTCAAAGCTAAAACCTAAAACCCCAAAAGCTTAACACCCTAAACCCTAAACCCTCAACCCCAAAAGCTTAAAACCCTGCATCCCAAAACCCTTAGACCTACATCCCCGGCCAGATGTTTGCCCTGAGAGGATGGGTGAGTGGAGTTCCCTGGACCTCGCACTGCTGTGCAACTCCCTCCACAGGCCAGGCACTGAGGTTTAGGGTTTAGGGTTTAGGGTTTAGGGTTTAGGGTTTAGGGTTTAGGGTTTAGGGTTTAGGGTTTAGGGTTTAGAGTTCAGGGTCGAGGGGCTCATGTTGCTTCATGTTTTGCTTTTCTGGTAGGTGATTGGCGTTTTCGTTGGTTTAGGCTTAGGGTTTTGGGGTTTGGGGTTTGGGGTTTAGGGTTTGGGGTTTGGGGTTTAGGGTTTATAGGGGTAAGGCTCGTCGACCTCACGACTTATAGATCTTAAAGCCTTCCAGGATGTTTCGGGTTTGTGAGCGCTTAGAGTTCATGATCTGAGGATTCCTAGTAATATGAGGGTTTAGAGTTTAGGGCTGACAGGGTTTGGGGTTTGGGGCTTAGGGCTTTAGGCTCTGGGGTTTTGGACTTAGCGTGTTGTTTTCTCCAAACCTGAGGTTGGTGATGGCCTGTGGAAGCAGTCGCGCTGCCGACCTTTCGCAGGCCTCGGTTTTGAATTGAAGTCTGCAAAGAGCAGCACTCATGTCCCTAAGCCCTAAACCTTAAGCCCCTTTTCCTTCATGTCTTTCGGGTTTGGAGGGACAGGACGAGGACTCTAGGCCCTGAACCTATACCTTGAAGCCAGCCCCTTCAGACATTGCCCAGACCAGATCAAGTTGCGGAACCATGGCCCATGGCTTCTGAATCTTTGAGGCTGTCGGGCGTAGTGTCGCAGTCCATACATGGTAGAGGTAGCCTCCAGGGCCACTCAAATATGAGCCCTAGACCCGACATCCCGAAATGGAGGTAGAGCCCCATCTGTCTGGTGATCTGTGCGCGCTGTCGTTGGCCTTATAAAAAGCCTAGTGCCGTGTCACATGGAAGTTACGATATTCGGGACACCTTACGATATTCACGATGCCTTATTGGATCCTACCATTTAAGGGAGTATATTCGGGGTCCCTTATATTGAATGCCATGCCTGAAGCCACTTTCCGCGCTGGAACATCTCGAGATGCCTAACCGGGAAGCTCTTCAACCCATGTTGCCATGAGCCATTATGCCTTTATGAGACAGTATGAGCCATTAGCCATGATATGATGAGCCATGATGAGCCATTATGAGCCGTTCTGAGTTATGAGAGCCATTATTCACCAGCAGGAGTCAGTATGAGCTAATAGGAGCCAAGATGAGCCACTATGAGCCTGCTACGCACCTGGGCTGCGTGCCTGGCAGGGGGCCTTTCTTGGCACGCGGCTGTTGGCTTCCCGGCATGTTGCGGAGAGGAGTGGTTTGTGGCGGCCATGGCCCAGCTAAACCGGGAAGTCGGCAAGACACGCTGCGGGCGCGTGCAGGTAAGGGGTACCCCCTGGAAGGGACCCTTAACCTTATTCCCATATATATATATATCCCCTGTATATACCGTAGCCCCTGAATAACCCCCTAATAACCCGTAAGGTCCCTTAACAGGGTGCCCTTTAGTCCCTTGAGGTGGGCTTCTCGAGGATCGGGAATCCTCTGACGCACAGCTTGGGTTTCTTTGTGCAGCTTTACGCGCGGCGGCCACTGCTGCCGAGGAACGTCTCGGGCAACTTGATGTCCTACGTGATCTACCATTCCCACCTGGTCAACCAGCTCTGCCCTATTCTCCTGCTCTTGGTGCAGCACTTACAGGCAGAGATGTCGCTGGTGTCAGCGCTGCCCGGCTTGTCCAGTGAAGCCCCAGACCACGTGGCCCGCCACGTCCTGGCGAATTCACGCCTCCACGAGAGAGAATTCAGACTCACCTGGCGAAGTCGGAGGAAGTCGAAACGCCGTTTTGGACCTTTGGCCTGGTCTTTGCTCCATGAGTCCAGAAACCGCCTTCTTCGTTTTCGCTCATATGTACGAAGGCCAGGCTCATGGTTTCAACCAACTTGGGCCGATGACGTCGACGTCAGGCTGGCACTGGCATGGCACGTGGGCTTCAAGGAAGTCCCTGTCTCCAGGAACTTCTCAGCAGGCGCAATGTTCGGGCCAGAAGGCAAGTGGATGGCCGCCAGCGCATCTTTGTGGGAGCAGGCCCTCTTATCGGTATCCCGCGCCTTGACTATTCTGCCCAACAGCTGGAGCGCATCAACTCCTGTCAGGTTCGTGTTCACGGGCGGCACATTGTTGGCGCTGATGCGGTATGGCACCGTCACCTGGGACTCGGGCGAAGGTCATCTCGATTTCGTTGATAAGGACATTGATGTTCTCGTTGTGGCTGACTCTGCGCTCAACTGGTGGAAGGCTGTGGAGGCTCTCACAACGGAGCTCGAGCGGGATGGGTGGGCGGGCTGCTCCTTGGCCATGCGCGAGTCGTCAATCCTGCCACATGAGTTGGAGGTTTCGCAGCTTGCCGGCTTGGATGGAACCCGCCTTTTCTCCCGGGGCGTGGCCGAGCTGGTTTGTGCCCTGGTAGGCAGGGATGCCAGAACTCTGCGACCTGCCATGGTTCCGTTAAATGCCGTATGGGTGCAGGCCTTTAGCTTCGACGAGCTCAGGGGTGGGCGCCGGTGGTATCGTCCGGTGTCCTTCATGTCGCCATCTGCATCAGTGCTCACCTCCAGCCCCGCTTGCTCACAAGCGCAGGAGCTCTGCGTGCTGCTGGCGCGATTCCCTTTCCAATCCTGGAGAGGTGCAATACCAATGCGCGCCATTCTGCCGTATTCAGCCTGCGCATTTCTTCCGGAGGCCCAAATTGCCCGGCGCATACTGGGCCTGAAGGACTCGTTTCAGAATGCAAGGGTCAAGCTCCCGTGTCCAAGAGAATCCCTCGCCCTGCTGCGCTGGTACGACCGCGGGGAACTGTGGGGCCGAATCGGCGGGAGACCCTGCTTGGCTCTGCCACTAGTGGTCGAGCACGACAGAGTCACCAACAACGCAACCGCAAGGCTGCACCGACATGGGATCTCGGCCCGAGCAACGACCATGATCCGCGGCCGGATGCAGATGCTGGAGCAACTTGGCGGAATCAGCCTTCTGGCAGACCTTGAAAACTGCACCCTTCGAGGCGATGGCAGCTACAAGGTGATCTCCTCCATCTTCAAAGGTTCATCGAACCACGAATCCGACTGCCCGCCCAGGCGCCTGGGAAACACCATCGACTGGTCAAGTCCACGCGAATGTCCCGGCCGGGTTGCGGAATACAATGAGCAAAGACTCCCAAACACCAGCTATGTTTGGCACCCGAATGGCTACCAGCTTCACCGGTCTGGCGCAAGGAGGCTAGGACCAAGACGCGCGCGCAGAAATCGTGTCGCCAAAGAAGCGTCAAAACTTGTCCCGCTGGCTGCTTAGCGTTTAGGGTTTAGGGTTTAGAGTTTAGGGTTTAGGGTTTAGGCTTTTGAGCTTTAGGGTGTATGTAAAGGGCTCACTGACCTGAGAGACCCTACAAGCTCTCACTGGTGGAGGCTGTAGTGGCCGAAGGCACTGACTTTCGAGGGCGCTGGCACCGTTTTCTGGCCGGCTGCTTGGCTGCAGCCGTTAGTATTGCTAGGGTTTCCTACTTCTTCCTTGCAGAGATTTCGGGATGGCGGTGTTCTGCGGGCATCTGGGCTGTTCAAGGGTTCAGGGTTTCGGGCTTCATGAGGTGTATAGAGATGAAGACTGCAGATCAGTGCATGTTTTGGCGTCGTTTTGGGATCCTGTCAACAGTGTGGTGTGGTCACGAGTGTTCACCCGGGGCTTCATCGGAGCCATGGGGTTGAGGGTTTAGGGTTTAGGGTTTACGGTTTAGGGTTTAGGGTTTAGGGTTTAGGGCTCCTGTGACACAAGCTCGGGATTCCTACATTGTGGGGTCGCTATTGCCCGCATCCCGCAAAAGGACACCCCACAAAAAACCTTCGCCAATGTTTGTCAGGTGCCACATCTGTCTACAATTCACAAATACACAACAACAGAGACCTTGCTTCATATCTCATGGGTGAATAGTTCTGTAGGTCCTCAATCTGGTCCCTTACCTCCTCTACGAAAACTTCTGGAGTATGGGCCCTTGGGTATTATGAGGGGCATTTAAGGGGCCAGCCCCTTTTAAGGGTTTAGGGTTTAGGCTTTCCCTTACTGAGGGAACATGTCACTCCCCTAAGGTCGTATGAGGGATATTCTGCTGGGCTTCTCAGTTCATGGAGTCTTCCACCCTAAACCCTAAGCCCTAAGCCCTAGCCCTAAACCCTAAACCTTAAACCTAAAACCCTAATCCCTAAAGCCCTATGCCCTAAACCCTAGCCCCAAACCCTAAACCTCCTAAACCATAAGCCGAGTTGCATGCTATGGCCAGGCGTGGCCTCCGAAGCCCTCCTCTTGAGCAAGAGCTGTTCACCTCAGGAGACCTAGGGTTGTGGGGTTTGGGAGGTTCAGGGTTTAGGGTTTAGTGTTAAGGGCTTAGGGTTTGGGAGGTTTGTAGGAGGTTTAGTCTTTTGGATGTTTGGGAGGTTTGGAGTTTAGAGGTTTAGGAGGTTCAGGGTTTAGGGGGTTTGGGATTTGGTGGGGGGGGGGGGGGGGTAGCGCTTGGGGTTTTTTGGGTTTAGGAGGTTGAGGGGTTTGGGGGTTTAGGGTTTAGGAGTTTTGGGTTTAGGGGTATAGAGTCCAGGGGTTTGGGGTTTTGGGGTTTGGGTTTAGAGTGTGGTGGGCTAGAGTTCGGTGGTAGGAGGGACCTGAAGCAACTCTTGATGGTCAGTGGGTTCTTGGAGCCTACCCTGGCTCATAGGATGCATTGCACCCTCCCTCACCAGCACCCCTCCCCCCCACCCCAAGCCCAGAAAAAGGAGCATATGGGTGAGTATACCAGTAGGGACTAATAGCTACTATTGGGGCTTGTTAATGGCTATCCGAAGCTTGGCGCGCGGGCGCGTGTTGACAACTATTACCTGCTATTTGCAGCCTCTGAGCTTTCAAGGCAGGGGCGTAGGTGAGGTGAAGGGAAGGATGAGGGGCCAGACCACATAGTTGCAGGTTGGGTAGGGGGTTTTCGGGTAGAGGGTAGGGGGAGGGGGCAGTGGTGAGGGGGTTGGGGAAGGGTCACAAGGTCACTTCGGCAGGCATCGGAAGGCGACCCATGCTGTAGAAGTTTCGGTGTGGGTGATAGGTCTCCTTCTGACTGGATCCTGGATCTGGGGGGGTTCTGGCGGGGGGGGGGTGCAAGGTGTCCACAAAACAACCCTAAGCCCTAAACCCTAAAATTGTGGGGCTCCCCAGGGTTTAGGGTGGAGTTCATGGTGAACCGGCCTTTGAACGCTGGAAGCAGGATCATCCTCCTCAATATGCATCACGGCGGTGCCAACAGACGCCATGATGTCCCCAACGTGTGGTCAGCAGGAGACTCTCAGGAGATGCCGTGACTGCCACGCTGCCACAGGTATTTCCATTTGGCAACGCTGCCATTTTTTCGTCTGCTAGGCAGCGCGCATCATGTGAATCACAGTTTTCAAGAGTTGTCGGGCCTAGGGTCTCTTGAGCGATCTTCGGTGATTCGGAGTGAGGGTTTAGGGTTTAGGGTTTCGGGTTTAGGGTTTAGGGGTCTGTTGTTATTGTCGGGGTTAACCCGAAACACAAGGTAAACCCAAGAAGTGTGCTGCCACCTCCCCCACACACTCTTCGACTAGTAACTAAGCCCTAGAAACCCTAAAAACCCTAAAGCCTAAATCCTAAAGCTAAGCCCCTCGCCCGATATGGGTTTTGTTTTTTTTGAGGGGTGGGCAGTGCTTTGGGGTTTAGGTGTTGGATTTGGGGTATATTGGAAACCCTGCAGTTTTATACTCCGAAGCCTACACTCCGAACTCGCGACCCTGTCTTTGCGGCTTTATGGCTTTTGGTTCAGGGCCCTAAGCCCTAGTCTCTGAACCCCAAATTTGGGATGTCCCCTTATACTGGCAGTCCTTAAGAGGGATTAGAGTACCCCCCCCCCCCTCCCCTATTATGATCCCTTTTAAGGACTGTCAGTATGAGGGGGAACACCCAACCCGAAACCCAAAAAACCCAAACCCTAAAACCTAAACCCTAAACCCTAAACCCCAAACCATGTCGTTGCACAACCTGGGCCAGGATGTGGCGCAGTTTGCCAGCGCCTTTGCCGGGGTGCGCTGCTCTCAGGGCTTGGGGTTTGGGTTTATGCGGCGGAGGTTCAGGGTTTAGGGTTTAGGGTTCAGAGTTCAGGGTTTAGAGTTTAGGGCTTATAGGGTTGGGGGTTATGGTCTCTACTATTCATTTTACGCACAGTTTCGGTGTGGGATTGGAGGTTTTGGTTTGGAACCTCCTTTCTTCAGGGGCCTGGGCCACGTTATGCAGGATCTTGCACAGTGAAACCCTAAATCAAACCCTGAATCCAAAACCCAAAACCCTAAACCCTAAAGCCTAAACCCACTGTAGGGATTATAAGGCTTTTGGCTGAGGGGTGGGGACAATCCTACATCGGAACCTTATACCCGAACCAAACCCTCGACCCTAAACCCCAAACCCTAAACCCTAACCCTATAAATCCTATACCCTATAAACTCTAAACCCTAAACCCCTTCTATACACACTGGAGGTGCCACCAGGGCCGCAGCGTGCACTGGTCTGTGATGGTTTGACGGAACTGCTGCAAAGCCAGACGGGGACTCAGTCGATATGTAACTTCAGGAATGCTAAACCCTAAACCCTAAAACCCCTACCTCCTAAGCCAGAAACCCTAAGCCTCTCAACCACCCCCCCCCCCGCCCCCATGCCAAACCAGCAGCTGCCCCAGCCTCAACACCACAGAAATCCCCCCGAGATCGCCCCAAATCCTAAACCCTAAACCCCAGGATTAGAGTTTAGTTGGCTTTCGGAGCAGGATTTCGGGCTTGTAGAGTTTGTACCCGAACCACCCTAAACCTTGAGCCAGAAACCTTAACCCCTAACCCTAAACCCCAAAGCCTAAAGCCTAAACCCTAAACCCTAACTGCGAGGCAGCGTCAGGACTTTGTGGATGCCCTCTCACTGGAGGCTGGTTTCGGGTTCAGGGTTTTAGGGATTTAGTGTTTCCGTTTGAGGATTTGGGAATCATAGGATTTAGGGTTTTAGGGATGGTTTCTTTGTTCTTTCGTTAGTGAAACTTGCTCCGTTGCAGCCTGCAAAATTCCAAGGCTTCATCTCTCCGGCGGGTGGCTTTTCCCGGGGGGGGGGGGGGGGGGGGTTCTACCCAAAACCCCAAACTCTAAGCCCCAAACCCTAAACTCCAAGCCCCAAACTCTAAACCCTAAACCTTCCACTTGAAAGGGAAAGGACACCCGTCCCAAACCGACGCGAAAAGGTCGTAGCTGAGTAACGGTTTACAGGGCTTAGCCCGAAACCCCCAACCCTAAACCCTAAACCCTAAACCCTGCTTAGGGCTTCGTCAGACTTCGTAGGTTTTTCGGGTCTCCTCGGGAAGTTGTGGTGGTCAAGGACAAGGGGTTTAGGGTTTAGGGTTTGGGGTCGCGGGCTTGGGGTTTAGGGTTTAGGGTTTAGGGTTTAGGGTTTAGGGTTTAGGGTTTAGGGTTTAGGGTTTCGGGTTTAGGGTTTAGGGTTTAGGGTTTAGGGTCGATGACCGTTTGTAAATATGAGCCCTGTGAGGGCGCCAAGTGATGGGGGGTCCCTTTACGGGACCCCGAAACAGAAGGGATTCATGCTTCTTACAGCAGCCATAGTTCGGGGTTTAGGGCTCAGAGTTTAGGGTTTAGGGTTAGAGTTCAGGGTTTAGGGTTTAAGGTTTAGTGGCCTGTTCACCACAAATCACTTCTACTGGCTTAAAGATGTCTAGGAGTCACACCTCTCGTGCCGCCCCATACCTTACCAGAGCCCACAGCCCTGCGTTTTCATGGACTGCCTGTAAGATCTTGTTTAAGGGGGTCTCATAGCAATAGGGCCACCAAAGGCAGAATGTGCCATATTTATGGTCTCTGGTGTAATCGCTCGAGGCATGCAAACCTAAACCGCAGGGTAAACTCCCAAGCACCGAAAGCCTGTAAGCCACCAAAGTCCCACAAAGCAAAGATGTCACGGGTGTGTTCCAGGTCCCCAAACCCTAAACCCTAACCCCTAAACCCCAAACCCGAAGCCCTAAGCCCTAAACACTAAGTTCCAGGTCTTCTGTATCTCAAATCGCAAAATGCACCCTCCAGTATGGTGGGCCCCTAGGGCACCTTCTTGTGGCCAGGTCCTGTGCATCTCAAAGGGTTCACTTAAGGGGTTCACGGTTCAGGGTTTTGGGGTCAGGGTTTCGGGTTTTAGGGTTTAGGGTTTCTTGGGTTTAGGGTTTAGGGTTTTAGGGTTTAGGGTTTAGGGTTTACGATTGGCCTGGGCCGGCGATGAACAAGGCCCCTTTACATCACTATGTAAGTTGGTAGCCCTTTCCATTTGAATTACATATCCGTTTTGCTTGCTTGCCTGTGTGCTTCCAGAAACTTCCTTGATGCAGGGGTCCCAGGCAGGGTCCCAGGCGGGGGTCTAGGGGGCGGCAGGGGTGGACAGCGCAACAACAACACCAAAGGAACGCCCTGGCCAAAGGGGCCCTGAAAGACCCCTCTCATGGCTCAAACAACCCAAAACCAAAACGTTTCATCAGGTTTAACTGTTCACAGGTAGAGAAGGTTTAGGGTTTAGGGTTTAGGGTTTAGGGTTTAGGGTTTAGGGTTTAGGGTTTAGGGTTTAGGGTTTCCCCTCAAACAGGCTCATCCTGCGGAGCCCAAAGCTCTAAACCCTTCAATGAGATCCCAAACCCCAAGCCCTAAACCCTAAACCCTAAACCCTAAACCCTACAAGTTGTTAGCAACTTTCAGGGCCTTTGCGCCATCCTGGTGGCGATGGAACGCCTTGGCTGCCGTGACGAGGCCATCGTGGGCGAGCTTCGGCCGCTTCGGGTTTAGGGTTTAGGGTTTAGGGTTTAGGGTTTAGGGTTTAGGGTTTAGGGTTTAGGGTTTAGGGTTTAGGGTTTAGGGTTTGGGGAATCTCTAGGAGGAAGGGTTCGGGGGGATTTCGGGTTTAGAGCTTCGAAAGCTGACCCAAGTCCCCAAGGGCTGAAGGGATGCTTAAAGATTTACGGCATATGCGTTTAGGGTTTAGGGTTTAGGGTTTAGGGCTTAGGGTTTAGGGTTTAGGGTTTAGGGCCCCTAAACCCGAAATCCTCAACCCTAAAGCTCTAAACCTCAAGGGGTCCGAGTCGGGACCGCTTGAAAGGCGCTCCTTCGCGCGTCGGCGCGCCGTTTGAAGCGGAGCCAGACGCAGCTGACGCCCAACCATTTGGGTCAGGCGGGGCAGGGTTTAGGGTTTAGGGTTTAGGGTTTAGGGTCTAGGTTTTAGGGTTTAGGGTTTAGGGTTTAGGGAGCACGGATACATGGAGTCTGATCTGGAGGTTTCCGAAGACTAGCAGTGCCGGAGAAGGGTTTTCTACTGCATTCTGGTTGCAGAATACGAGATACCTCTATTCTGGGATATACCCATAAAGGGCCCTAGAAGGAGTTTATAATGTGTAAGAGGGGTTTCGGATTTAGGTTATTTTGCGAGTAGTAGGGTTTGCAGATTTCGATTTTCGGCTTCCGCCGTTTTTTCAGGGCTGAGGGAGTCCGATGATGGAAAGCTATTGGCTAAGTCACAGTAGAGCTATCGGAAAAGCAGACCGTAGGAGAGCTTCTATGGGATCCTGGAATTGCACTAGTAGGTAGACGACTGAAGCACGCCCCTGAAGTTGTTGCGAAGTTGTTTCTTTGTTCGCCACCCAACAACCCCCCAACAACCCTGAGCCGCCTGAACCCGAAGACCCTACAGCCCTAAAGCTCAAACGCCGTACAACATGGCCTTCTCAAGGGGTATTCTGCTGCGCATGCGGGGCCGGGTTTAGGATCCCTGAAAAGGCTATGTTCGGAATAGAAAGGGCCCGATGTTTTGTAAACTCCGAGATTTGCAGGTCTCCAAAATAGTATTCCACCGTCCCACCCCAACCTCACAGCCTAGACCCCAAACTCCTAACCCCAAACCCCAAACCGCGAAGCCTTAAACCTCAAGCCCCACACCTCAAACACCCAGCCCCTAATAGAAGGGTTGTTTATAACGAGGGACCCAAATTCAGGGCCCATACTTTCAACCCTTAGATATGCAACCCCAAACCTAAACCCTAAACTGTAAACTCTAAACCCAAACCCTAACCCTAAACCCGAAACCCTAAACCCTAAACCCTAAGCCCTAAGCCCTAAACCCACCACCTTAAAGGTTTGCCACGCCTTGGCTCGATGGCTGGACACCAGCTCCAAGGACAGTTTTTCTTAGGATTTGGGGTTTGGGGTTTAGGGTTCAGGGTTTGGGGTTTGGGGTTTGGGGTTTTGGGTTTAGGGTTTAGCGTTTCGGGTCTAGGGGTTTAGGGGTTGAGGGGTTGAGGGGTTTAGGGGTTTAGGGGTTCAGGGGTTTAGGGGTTTAGGGGTTTTGGGGTTTTGGGGTTTAGGGGTTTAGGGGTTTGGGGGTTTAGGGGTTTAGGGGTTTTGGGTTTCAGGTGTATTTAGGGTCGGGGGAGGGTCGGGTGCGAAGGACCACATGAGAGCTCACAGCCGCAACAAGCTGGGCGAGTTGGTTGACGAGCTGTTCAAGACAACGCTGCGTGGGCGCAGATTCTGTTGGGGCCCATTTAGAGGGGTCAGAACAATTACTAGTTTTTTTTCCCTTATGGTCCCTTTGTAATTATCCTATACCCCCCCCCCCCCCCCAAACCCTATTCTAATTAATTCGGCCCCTATAGTATCTGGTCGTAGGCTTGAGAGTTTAGGGCTTGTACCTTCACAGGTGTCTTGGCGATATGGTTGCTCCGCTTGAATGGTTGCTCCGCTTGAGGCTGCGTGTGAGAGCGTCTAGCAGGGGGGGGGGGGGGGGGCACAGACTTGCTACAAGCCTTGTTGGGTAGTTTCCTGAACTATGGGCCCTTTGTGGGTCAGTACAAACGGCGGCACCCTTTAAAAAGGTGCCCCAAACAGGGACACTTTTGGAGATCCCCCCCAAGTTCTCTGGATCTCCCAACACCCAAGACCTAAAAGCCCCAGAGCCCGAAAAAGGCTGCCAGGCTGAAGCTTCCCAAAACACTTGAACCTCTGGACCCTCAACCCTAAACCCTCATTAGGGTTAGGGTTTAGGGTTTAGGGTTTAGGGTTTAGGGTTTAGGGATTAGGGTTTAGGGTTTCTAGGGTTTACCCTAATCCCTAAACCCTCAACCCCCAGAGTTTGAACCAGGTTCTGCCCCAGGATCGCCCACCTGGCCAGGGAGTTTCGGAATCCCAGGTGGGTTCAGGGTTTAGGGTTTAGGGTTTAGGGCTAGGGTTTAGGGTTTAGGGCTTCGGGCTTAGGGTTTCGGGTTTAGGTTAGGGCTTAGGGTTTCGGGTTTAGGGTTGAGGGTTTAGGGCTTAGGGTTCAGGGTTCAGGGTTCAGGGTTTCGGGTTCTGGGTTCAGGGTTCTGGGGTATGTTTAGGCTTTGCAGCGCTTTGGTTATCACTGCTTATTGTTCATATCCCAAGCCCTAAATCGGGTTTTAGGGTTGAGGCTTACCAGGGCTCAGCGGATGGGAGGTTCTACAGGGGTGTACACCGAAACCCGAAACCCGAAACCCGAAACGACCTTGTCCCGTGAGGCACCTCGGGTTCGTCGCCTACGCGCTCATGCGCCTAGGCTCGCCAGGGCAGAGGACTCGGCAGTAGCTGGGGATGGGTCTAGGGTTTGTAGGGTTGAGGGTTTAGAGTTTAGGGTTCTAGGGTTCTAGCATTCTAGGGTTCTAGGGTTAGGGGTTTCGGGGCCAGGGTTTCGGGTTCGGATAGGGGCGGGTTTGGGGTTGGTAGGGTTCAGGGTTTGGGTTCGTAGGGTTTAGGGTTCAGGGTTCAGGGTTCTAGGGTTTAGGGTTTCGGGTTTAGGGTTTAGGGTGTGGGAATGGGTTTCGGGCGCATAGGGTTCATAGGGTCTAGGGCTCAGGGACATTTAGGGTCAGCAATGCATAGGGCCATGTGGGGTCTCTAGGGTATTAGGGTTCTCAGTTTTGAGTTTGAGTGTTTTGCTTTTTGCTGCTTAACGGATGTGTCAGCATGGGGGCTGGAAGTGCTCAGACAATGACAGATGCGTTGCTTGCGTGCGACATGACGGGTGATCTACTTGAGCAAGAGTCTCATCTTCTTGATTTTGAGAAGGGTTTAGGGTTGAGGGTGTAGGGGCTCCATCTTCGGTATGAGGACCTGCATGACGTCATCATACCGGCAGTATTCCAGGGATTTCTAAGTCCCTCTGAGTCGCATATCATGCGGGGATCAGCAACCTCAAAACAAGTAGTATGTAGGCAGGATTTGAGCGCGTGTCTGGCTGGCACGTAGTGCAGCGTTGAGGTTCGGAGGACGTGGTTAGCAAGGTTGGGTTTCAACAGTTGAAAGTCGCAGACTTTAGGGTGTCGACGTTTTTCAACACAGGCCCCGTATGGCAACGCCGAACGTTGTCATCCCCGTCATCTTCAGACTGGTACCGAAAGCCCTAAATCCCTGAAACTTCAACTCCCTAAACTCCCTAAACTCCCTACATCCCCTAAGCTTCCTAAACTCCCTAAACTCCCTAAACTCTAAACCCTAAACCCACCTTTAACTGCCCCTATACCCGAAATCCCAAATCGGGAAGGACCCTCGAGACGCTGGCAGCCGCAGTGCTTGCGGCGCAGGAGGACGACCCCACCCCCATCCCCGGCCACCCCCTGCCAACCCTAAACCCTAAACCCTCAACCCTAGGATAGAGGGTCTGGGTTTGAAGGTTCGGGTAAGTAAGGGAGCAGCCTCTAAGTGTTCTTTTTGTTGGTGGGGGGCGGGTGGGGGGGGGGGAGGGGTAGGGTTTCACGTTTAGGCTCTGTAGGGTTCTTGCCTTAGGCGTAGGGATAGGGGTTTAGGGTTTATAGGGTGTTTAGGGTTTACAGGGTTTTTGGGGTTTACAGTGTTTGTAGGGTTTTCAGGGTTTATAGGGTTTACAGGGTGTATGGGGTTTGTGAGTTTTTAGGGTTAATCGGGTTTATAGGGCTCAGTGAGGAAAACCATGCTGATAGGCTTTCGTTTTTTTTTTTTTTTGGGGGGGGGGGGGGGGTAGGGTTTAGGGTATAGGGTTTAGGGTTTTACCATGCTCACACCCTCATCGTGATTCGTGTAGTGCAGGATTTGGGATCTCAATTTTACGTTTCATGTACGTCGTCGCCAAGGATACCGGACCTTATATCTTACTACCTGTAGTTCTTAGTAGGACATTTTGTGATATCACTGAAACCCTAAACCCTAAACCCGAAACCCTAAACCCTAAACCCTCCCCAACTTCCTGCGCTACTGAGATACATCGTGTCTTGGTGGAGGATGCCCGGAGCACACTGCATTTGCGCAGTTGGCCTGTGACTCGGCGAGGACTTAGGGTTCAGGGTTTACGGCTTAAGGTTTAGGGTTTAAGGTTTAGGGTTTAGGGTATAGGGTTTCGGGTTTAGGGTTTAGGGTTAAAAGTTTATACGGCTTAGGGATATGTGGCGGAGCTCGGGTCGCGACCTGAACCCTACCTGCAACCCCCTAAAGCCTACCACTGACGAAGGTCCGAACCCTTCAACATTTGCAGGAGTTGCACGGCTCCCCGCGTGGAACAGTCTAACCCGCCCCTCCCCCTCAAAAAAACAAACGCATGACCCAGCGCCCAGCACCAGGTTCAAGCAATGCCCTTCAGCTTCAAGCCTTGTATTGAGGGGCACGAGGAGGCTTATATAGTCCCTATATGCCTAAGTAGCCCCCATAAACAACCCCTCAGGTCCCTTATAAGGGTCCCCCCCTTTAGTCCCTTGATTATAGAGCAGGGGAGACGTGTTAGGTACGCGCCGGCTTTGGGGGGCTAGAGGGTTGTCCCTCAGAACGACTAGGCTACTTTTCGCTCTGCTTGGCATGGGTTTTCAGGGCTTTAGGCTAGGGTTAAGGGTTGGGGTTTAGGGCTTAGGGTTTAGGGTTATGAGGGGTTTCGGAATTAGGGTTGGTTCCAGGCTGAGGGGTATCCTGTTTGGGGGGTACCCTGTTTGGGAACTGCCTTTCTGACTCAGCCCAGAGTAGGTAGTGCTTTGCAGACGTCAGACTTTAGTGTAGCTAAACCCTGAACCCTGAACCTAAACCCTAAACCCTAAACCCTAAACCCCAAACCCTAAACCCTAAACCCTAAACCCTGCTGCAGGTGGTATCCCTCCTTCAACTAACTGAAGCCCTGGCAGACGCGGCGCTGCGTCACCAGCAACCCGGCCGAGCATTTTTTCGTGCTAAACCTAAAGCTCCATGTTTAGGGTTTAGGGTTTAGGGTTTAGGGTTTAGGGTTTAGGGTTTAGGGATGTACGCCCTGAATCCTTGAAGCCTTTGAACCTTGAAGTCCGAGCCCAAGCAGCTTAACGGTAGCCTCAAACCTAAACCCTAAAACCTAAACCCGAAACCTCAAGTTTCCGAGTCCCAGTGCCCTTATGAGGAGGAGCTGCTTTCAAAATGCCAGCCGGAGGCTTACAACCCCCCCCCCCCCAAAAAAAAAAAAAAAAAACAATAAATAGATAAATATGTATACATATATATATATATATATATATATATGAGGCAGGGACCTCTCTGTATAATGTGATGATTTCCCCTTGGTTCAAAGCCCGGAGAGAGGCCCAAACTATCTAGATCGTTTAGATAGTTTGGGGCCACCAGGGGGGAGGCCCAAACTACCCAAACTATCTAAACTATCTAAACTATCTAAACCCCCCTCCTGGGTTTAGATAGTTTAGATACTTTGGGGCCACTAGGGGAGGCCCAAATTTTCTAAACCATCCAACTCTCTGAACTATCTAAACCCACCTTCCTGGGTTTAGATAGTTTAGATAGTTTAGATAGTTTAGATAGTTTAGATAGTTTAGATAGTTTAGATAGTTTAGATAGTTTAGGTAGTTTAGGTAGTTTAGGTAGTTTGGGGCCTTCTGGGGGGGGGAGGCCAGGGAAGGGGTTTAGATAGTTTAGATAGTTTGGGGCCCCCCAAAAAAGGCCCAAACTATCTAAACTATCTAAACTATCTAAACTATCTAAACTATCTAAACTATCTAAACTATCTAAACCCCCCTGGGTTTAGATAGTTTGGATAGTTTAGGTAGTTTGGGGCCTTTTGGGGGGGAGGCCGGGGAAGGGGTTTAGATAGTTTAGATAGTTTTGGGGGTAGGTTGGGTCCCGGGTGGAGCCCAAAACTACCTAAACTATCTAAACTATTTAAGCTATCTAAACCTAAATTACGAGCCCGATCTCGACTCTTCAGAAGATGACAAGCTCATGACCGCATCGGCTATGTTGATGTGCAGGGGTTTGAAGCAATGAGCTGGGGGAGGTGGAGTGCACGACTGCAAGATTTCAGCCCCCAACCTCTTCCCCCCACATAATAGTGGGGGATCACTGGATTCAGGGCAGCTGCGCTTGGGAGCACCCGGCGTAGGGAGGGGGGGGTGTCGGACGGGCATGGCCATGTCTGGCGCCCACGACCTCGGCGCGCTGCAGGGGTTTGAAGCAATGAGCTGGGGGAGGTGGGGGAGGTGGAGTGCACGACTGCAAGATTTCAGCCCTCAACCTTTTCCCCCCACATAATAGTGGGGGATCGCTGGATTCGCGCTTGGGAGCACCCGTAGGGAGGGGGGGGTGTCGGACGGGCATGGCCATGTCTGGCGCCCGCGACCTCGGCGCGCTGCAGAGGTTTGAAGCAATGAGCTGGGGGAGGTGGAGTGCACGACTGCAAGATTTCAGCCCTCAACCTCTTCCCCCCACATAATAGTGGGGGATCACTTGATTCAGGGTAGCTGCTGCGCTCGGGAGCACCCGTCATAGGGAGGGGGGGGTGTCGGACGGGCGTGGCCATGTCTGGCAACCGCGAGAACGTGGAGGTCTCGGGGGGGCCCTAAAGTGGTTGGAAATTGTCTAATTTTCGTGTAAAGCAGGTTTTTTCGATCTTTATTAATTAAGAACTGTTTTTTTTTTAGATAATATGTTGTTCGTTATTTCTTTGTACTTCTCCTCTAGGTTTGTAGCTGTTTGTTCTTAAATGTGTGCAAGCAAGACAACAACGTGTACAACAGCCTTTTATCTGTTGAATATATATATATATGTATATATATATCTCCACACATGTAGGGTTGTCGCTCGCAAGCAATCCTGAGCTCAGGTATATACTCGATGTCCACACTGAGTCGGGCCCGGACCTGGGCACTGCAGCTATTTCTCCTACTGCAACTTACGCAAACAGGAAAAGATCACGTCGAGTGTTTTCGTATATGCCGAAGTTACTCGAGCCAGAGTTGTGTCGTGCTTGCACGTGTCTTTCATGCGCAAGCTGCTTGTCGGCGCGCCCATAGTTGCTCAAACGGGTTTCCAGCGCTTGTGAACTTGTGTCCAGCTGTACACTGTACACGAGGCAGGGACGGTGACGTATGCATCTTCTCAGCTGTTGAACTTGAATCTTGAGTGGAGGTCTCGCACTATCTCCAATGTTGCTTTTGGTGCTGTTGCTTCTCCTTCTCCGCAGCCAGGCCGTTCATTTCTTGGAATGTTTCTGTAAGATGCGCATAAGTGGCTCCAGGGGCGTGCGCCTCGTATGCGCTGCAGCAAGGCAGGATTCGTGAAGCTGAATGTTCTTGTCAGTTCCGCTGCGCGAGGAATGGAATGCATGACCAGGTGCTTCGCTGCCGCCGCCTGAAAGAAGCTGCCTGCTTCCTAGCTCTGAAAGCACGCGTGATTACAACGCTGACATGCAGAGTGTGCAAGCATCTTTTCGCCTTGCTGACTTAGGACTTGAAGGTGCTTCCTGCCTGGGCTGTGCCCTAATGCGTATGGGTGTGTGCAAATGCTGTACACACTGTACAATGCTTCTTCCGCAGGCTAGGATACATGTGTCCTGCTGCACGGCTAAAGCCAAACTGCGCCGAACAAAAGTCTGGGTCTTGTCAGGATGCTTATTGAAGGGTTGTTGTTTTACTTGAGACCACTGCTCACTTCAAACATCGATCAGGTGGGGTGGTTTGCACGTGGCATCTGGGCTTGTTTCCCAGCTACTTTAGAAGGCAATCTGAGTGATACAGTCGTTTGAGATGATCACGCCAGACAGGTGTTGCAGAAGTTTTTGTACGCTATGTACTCAGCTTGCAATGGCAATGAAGACTGCTTGCAAGCAAGCCTTCGTGCATGTGCACTGTCTGTTGGCTTTGTGCTGGGCCAAGGGTCCTCAATTCTTGCTGAGTCGTCGTGCCTGGGCCATAGTGCGATAGAGGTCAGCAAGTTGTTGAAAGTCTTGTCGGTCCTGCGCGGTCAGTGAGGACAGAAACCGGAAGCAGCACACGGAGACCGGCAACACGGTGTCAGGCACCAAGCCGGACAGCCCCAGAGCAGGGAAGTGATTGAGACTTTTGTGTTGTGTGTAGTTGTTTGCACTTCTCGCTTCGAAGGGTTCGGAGCAGTCTGGAGCTACCGCCGCTAGATATTTTGTATTCTTAACGCATGCGTTGTTGCATGGTCAGCTGACGCTACTTTAGGTCAATTCTCTGCATTGACTATGTACTTTGTTTTCCTGATCTAGTTCTTGCTGTGAAGTTTCACAATCATTAGTCAGGCGGTCAGGCGTTATGTAGTATTGATCTACGACCGGTCGGTATGCGGATTTTCGGGTTGGAGCATTTTCAAGGACCAAACCCAGAAAACCAATGATTGGCAAGTTTTTCGGGGAGATGTATTTGAATTTGGGTTTATGGGCCCCACACGCACAAAACAAGGGGGCTGTTTTTTTTGGTGGGTGCGTGGCAGTCTGCCTGTGGGATGTCCTTCAATGAACAGAGATTTCGTCGAAAAGTAGCTCGAAAAAGGGTGGTTCTTGTTTTCAGGGTTTAGGTATGTAGTCAGATGGGCACCTTTTCTCTATACTTTAAGAGATGCAGATGGGGCTCTTCTCTACACTTTAAGAGATACGTGGGGGGAGAGTGTGTACGAAATATTGGCTGTGGCTCATGAAAGCAACTCTGCCATTTGCCCTACACAAACGATGGCTCCCAGTCTGCGATGCAAAAAGGCTAATCACCCTAGGTTTCAAAGAGACCCCTTTAGTATGCCCGAATCCCAAACCACTGCCAGGGCCCAAGCCCAAACCCGTAACCTAAACCCCAATTCCGTGCATCTAAAGCGTACAAATACAAATACGAAAATACATGAGTTATCAGGATTGTGGTTATACTAATAGTAATACTTGTATTACCAACAGAGACAATCATCATATCATACATAAAGGTCCCTCGTACGTATATATATATATATTTATATTTATGTATTTTTATAAAGCAACAAAAACAACAAAGGCAAGAACAACAACAACATCAACATCAACATCAACATCAACATCAACAACAACAACAACAACAACAACAACAACAACAACGCTCCAAGAACCTAAGCTCTTAACCCTCAAGCCCCACCGACACACTCTTAAATCCCTAAAGCCCCAAAGACCCCCAAAGATTGATGACCCGAGACCCTTCACATCAACTGAGTTGTCTCAGTATGCCTCAACCTCTATGTTTTACATTTCCCAGGGCGGAAGATGCAGTGGAGCTGCGAGCCGTGAACTCGCTGTGGTTACTTTTCCGCAGGAGTTGGGTTATGGTCAAGGTTCAGGGTTTAGGGTTCAGGAGTTTAGGGTCTAGAGGGCTCAGGGCTCTTTAGGCTTTAAAAGGCGTTAGGGGTTCAAGGTTTTTTTTTGAGTTCATGCAGTTTTGAGGTTGGGTCTGGGGTTCTATACAGTCAAGGGCCGTGTTAGAGGCCTGTTTAAGGTTTCGGGTTTAGGGTTTAGGGTTCAGTGTTTAGGGTTTAGAAACCCTAAAATCTAAACCAGCGCAGATTTTATGACTACCAAATTGGTTTCTCCCGCAAACTCCCTGTTCGTTGTTTTGCCATAGACAGTACGTTCTTGATTAACACCCTAAACCCCAAACCCTAAACCTGAAACCCCAAGGCCTTCACCCTGCACTGGGGGAAGTAGGGCTGCGGATTGGGAGTTGTGGGAGGCGGGTGCTTGGTCTCTTCTCTAAGGGTTAGCTTGGCTAGGGATGAGGGTTGAGGGTTGAGGGTTGAGGGTTGAGGGTCTAGGGTTTAGGGTTTAGGGTTTAGGTTTAGGGCTTCTCTCATTCATGTCTGGCGCACTGTCGTGGGGATGCTGCTAGGGCCTGGGGCATAGGGCTAACAGGGCTTAGGCATTAGGTCCCTAAACCTTCAACACTAAACCCTACACCCTGAACCCTACACCCTGAACCCTACACCCTAAACCCTAAACCCTGAACCCTGGTTCCCTTGTGCAGCTGTTTCCCAAGGCGAGCCATTGCCGATCTTGTTGAGACGATGCCTGAAAAGCTGGCTTCTCCGGAGGCGCCATGGAGGGCTTAGGGTTTACGGTTTAGGGTTTAGGGTTAGGGCCTATAGGGTTTAGGGTTTAGGGCTTAGGGTTTAGGGCTTAGGGTTTAGGGTTTTGGGGTCTGGGCCTATTTGGGCTTATATAGGGTTTGGGGTTTTGTGTTAAAAGGGCTTATAGGGTTTGTAGGGTTTGTAGGGTTTGTCGGGTCTAGGGTTCAGGGCTTATAGGGCTTGTAGGATTTAATCGGGTTTACACGGTTTATCGGGCTTATAGGGTTCATAGGGCTTATGTCAGGGGTATAGCAGGAGTTGAGGATTTAGGTTTTTCGGGTTGGGGATAAAGGGTTGACATTCTCCAGGCATATAAAGAAAAGCGCAGCCCTTAGAGCGAATCCTTCTCTTAAGGGGTTCGGGGGTTTGGGTCTAGGGTTTCGGGTTTAGGGTTCCGCGTTGTTGTGCGCCTTTTCCGACACGCAACGCAGCCTCAATGCTGAGGCGCGAGCCGAATGATAATCATTAGTAGCTGTACCAGAGATTCATGAACACCAGCACCAGCTATTGGGTGAAATGCATTTTGCCATGGATCAAGCCTAGCTTCCTCTCGTGGTTTGTGAAATCATTCTAGAAGAGGTGGACGGGTCAGGATGCGCCCCACAGCTTGTCCCAGCCACGGGCAGGTGAAAGCTTTGTTATTCATCCTGGTAGCCCACGGGCCGGTCAGGCTGTCTTTAGCAAGTTTGTCTGACTACCCTCTATAATACCAAGTTTTTTCGGATGACTTTTTGTTTTTAGGGTTTGTGTTTAGGGTTCAGGGTTTACGCTGTAAGGCTTGAGGCCCTGAGCTCCAGGAATCTTAAAGGCTGGAAAGCTTCAGGCCTTGAGGTCCTAAAGGCTTGAGGCCCTGAGGGCGGTTCCCCCACCCCCCCTTCCCCCCCAATGCGTTTATAGAGGGTCCCAAATTTGTTTGGGGGGGGGGGGGGGCCCGTACTAAAGACAGTGCAACATTAAACCCCCAAAACCCTAAACCCTAAACCCTAAAACCGCGTTATGCTGCAGCCCGAAGCCTAACTCCTGGAGGCTGTGCGCTTTGCTGCCGCGTTCCCTGGCGGCCCTCCAGGTCCTAACTACCAACCAAGATGCGAGGAGTTCTTTCAGGGTGATAGGGTTTTGGGGTTTTGGGTTTATGGTTTAGGGTTCTTTTGGGGCATTAGGGTTTTAGGGTTTAGGGGCATTTAGGGGTGCTCTTTGCCGTGAAGCTGTTAGGGTTTAGGGCGCTGGGTCTTGCAGGGCTTCGAGTAGTAGGTTTTTCGGGTGCTGGGACACCCAAACTCCATTAGACGGCCTGAGGGCTCAATACAGGTCTACGGGCAGGGTCTTCGGATGTACAGCCGACGGTCGACCCCCGAAACCCTAAACCCTAGCCCTAAACCCTAAACCCCAAACCCCAAACCCTAAACCCTAAACTCAGCCCCGGCTTTCTGAGGCTGCACAGCCTCCCAGGCTTCTTGGAGTTCGCTCGTCGCACTGCCGAGGACGGGCAATCACCAGTAGACATCCGAGCGTTCAGAGGCTTAGCTAGGCTTAGGGTTTAGGGTTTAGGGTTTAGGGTTTAGGGTTCAGGGTTGAGGGTTTAGGGGTTAGGGTGTAGAGTTTAGGGTTCCTAGAAATTTGTGGATACATCATCTCGAGTTGTTCTGGCCTCTTTCTCGGGACGATAGGGGAATGTTGTAGACAAAGCTACTTCGGCTCTGTAGCATCCTAAACCGTAACCCCTAAACCGTAAACCTTAAACCCAACCCTAAACCCTGAACCTTAAACCCTACGCCCTAAACCCTAAACCAGCAGCTGGGGCTTTGCCATGTCGGGTTCGACTGTAGGTTCTTCCACCTTCGGCACTTCACCTCTGGTATTCTACGAACTCTAGATCCCCCCCTAAACCCTAAACCCTAAACCCTAAACCCTAAACCCTAAACCCCGGGACCAAACGGTTCCTACAGCGTACCTGGGGTTTGTGTTTAGGGTATACAGTGTCTTCAGGGTTTAAAGGGTTCAGATAGTGTTAAGAGGGTTTACAGGGTTCATAGGTTCATAGGCTTAATAGGGTTTATAGTAGGGTTCATAAGGTGCAGGGTTTGGGGTCTACCTAAGCTCAATGTGCATGGAAGGCCGTGGGCCGAAGTGCTCGTCCGCTTTCACTTCGTGACGGGACGATGATGCTGGGGCTTGTTTTGTTGTCTCAAGCTTGTGTTTCTTTGGGGGGGCGAAGGGGGGGAGATATAGGATTTAGGGTTAGACCTGATTAGGTTTTAGGGGTTTAGGGTTTAGAGAGCGGGCTGGTACAGTCTTGGATCTGAGGTCGGGCACCCGAACCGTAGAAGCACTGGGCAAGGATCCCATACACCATCCTCTTCTCTTGGGTGCTGCTAGAGCCCCAAATTCTAAACTAAACCCGAAACCCCAAAGTTTCAGACTGAGCCTGTCCGTTCACCCGAAACCCCAAGAACATGTCCAAGACCCAGTACAGAAGTACAGGGCTTCATACGCCAGCTCTTTATCCTAAGAGTTAAAGCCCTCAACCCAAAACCCCTGGCCCTAAATCCGGACCTGATACGTAGCTTGCTGCCAAAATTGCTCGGGCTTTGAAAGGTAACTCCCAATGGCAAGAATATCCAAGGCAGACCTATACACGAATATGCATGTACATCTACATATCTATGTACGCACACACACACACACACACACACATCTCAATCGGACGGAGAGATCCACAACCGAATGGCAAAAAAGCCGAAACCCTAAACATCCCTACACCCGAAACCCTAAGCCCTAAACCCTAAACCCTAAGCCAGACACAAGGATGCTCGGAACCTTGCAGCAGCTGGAGTTGCGCGAGGCCCTAGTTGTCGGAGGGCTTCGCGCAGGGACAGGTGTATAAGCCCGGATCCCCTCGGGGTTAAACCTACAACCCTAAACCCTGAACCCTAAACCCTAAACCCTAAACCCTAATACAAACCCTAAACCCTAAACCCCAAACCCTAAACCCCTAAACCCCTGAAACCCCTAAACCCTAAACCTAAACCTTTTGACAAGTGAGCAGGCGGCTCTCTGGAAGCCCCTCCTTTGGCAGCTTCACCGCGCAGCCGAAAAGGACACGGACGTTCGTCTAGGATTTAGGGTTTAGGGTTTAGGGTTTCGGGTTTAAGGTTTAGGGTTTAGGGTTTAGGGTTTAGGGCTAGGGGTCCAGGGTTTCAGGGGCTTAGGAGTCTAGGGTTCAGGATGAGGGAACCATGGCGGAGTGCTTCGGCTTGTGTGGCCCTAACAACCCTGAACAAAACCTGCTCCGGCCCTTGAAGCCACCGTCCTTGCACCTCCCTAAACCCTAAACCCTAAACCCTAAACCCTAAACCCTAAACCCTAAACCCTAAACCCTAAACCCTAAACCCTAAACCCTAAACCCTAACCCTAAACCCTAAACCCTAAACCCTACTCCTGAAGAACAGAGGAGCCGTGGTCCCCTGCAGTTGCCTCCAGCATTTTCCGGTCGCTGGAGAGGTGGGCTTCGAGGTGTAGGGTTTTCGGGTTTAGTGTTTAGGGTTTATGGTTTAGGATATAGGATTTAGGGTTTAGGGCGTGGCCACATACAGTGTGTGTGTGTGTGCACCCTGATTCTAAGCTAAGGGTTTTTAGAAAGTCTTTGAGGCTTGGCCGATATTTCGTATACAAGCAGGGGGGCACGGGCTCCAGTGACTAGCCTTGCCCAACGAAGCCAAGTCACTGGAGTGGATGCAGTGGCTGATCACCACTGTGTACCTGCAATCGAAAGGCCATCCCAAAGTACCCTTAAAGTCGTTTGCTGCCACAGTGGCCTGCAGATGGATGGATGTCGGATGCGTTTTCATGTGATATGCAGTGAAGCAGATGGATAAGAACTTGAGCTGTCTGCGCATGATGTCAGGTTCGTTATGTTTTAGGCCACAATTACATGCACTAGTACTACTACTACTACTTCATTCTCGTCACCATGCATGAGATCTTCGGACAGGGAAGCCAATGAGAGTTTACTATCTTATCTCCGTGTGTGGCCTTGTTGCCAATCGCAGTTATCCCGCGAGGGAGCTGTACGGGTCGTTGTGCGACTCATCATGGTACCATGGAGGCCCAATAACCTAGCAGGTTGGGTCGAGAGGCCTAGTGCCACGCATGGAGCCCACTAGACCGCTTTCGAGCGATGAGTAACTTTTAGGTGGATGGGCAACAGAGGGCTAGTCCCAAGAGCAAAAATGGTGGGTCTTAGCACCCGTGTGGCCCGAGGTGGGGCCTAATGGAGGTCCTCCGGACCGCAATAGAGGCCTTAGCGCCAATGGAGTTTTTGGATGGATTGGTGATGCTCGGCTCCTTCAGCCTTTTCTTTTCCTTTAGTTGCTAGGATCTGTGTGATGCCATGTCTTGTTCGGTCATGCAGGGTTTCTGCTTCTCCAGCAAGGAAGGTTAGAGTCGGCATCATGTCTCGCAGGCTCTCTGTCGGATGACGTTCCAGGACTCGGCCTGACGAGCCGAAATAGACCGCATGCTTGGTTATCCCCTCTGACGGAGGGGCGTGTGTGTGTGTGCACCCTGATTCTAAGCTAAGGGTTTTTTGAAAGTCTTTGAGGCTTGGCCGATATTTCGTATAGAAGCAGGGGGGCAAGGGCTCCAGTGACTAGCCTTGCCCAGCGAAGCCAAGTCACTGGAGTGGATGCAGTGGCTGATCACCACTGTGTACCTGCAATCGAAAGGCCATCCCAAAGTACCCTTAAAGTCGTTTGCTGCCACAGTGGCCTGCAGATGGATGGATGTCGGATGCGTTTTCATGTGATATGCAGTGAAGCAGATGGATAGGAACTTGAGCTGTCTGCGCATGATGTCAGGTTCGTTATGTTTTAGGCCACAATTACATGCACTAGTACTACTACTACTACTACTACTACTTCATTCTCGTCACCATGCATGAGATCTTCGGACAGGGAAGCCAATGAGAGTTTACTCTCTTATCTCCGTGCGTGTGTATGTGTGTGTGTGTTTGGAGAGTGGGGAGGGGGGGGAACTTACGCTGCAGATGGCAGAGTTGCGGAAAGCATACGGCTCATGGAGTCGATGTCAGTAGGGAAGCTCCATGTTGAGGTTGTCTTAAGGGCTTACAAGCTTTAGAAGCCCGAAGCCCTTTAAGGCCTTAACCTTAACCCCTAAACCCTACGAGGGCTTCTAGAGAGTTTCGGTAGGTTTTCGGGATGAACCCTGAGAACCCGTAAGCCCGAAACCACTCGTCAGGATTGTTCTCGGACATCGTAGGGTTTAGGGTTTAGGGTTTAGGGTTTAGGGTTTAGGGTTTAGGGTTTAGGGTTTAGGGTTTAGGGTTTCCGAAAGTAGGGGTCCCCCTTTTGGGGGATTCCGAGAATAGGGGTTATGGCAATGTTTATTATCAGAGACCGGAGAAGACCACCGTTTCGCAGCTTGGGGGAGGTCAAAGCTTCGGTTTTAACCCTAAACTTTTAGAGAGCCACTAGGCAACCCTAAACCCTAAACCCAAAAACCCCCCAATGCACCTTGAGTTCATGAAGTTCTACATTGAGAGGGCGGATCCCTCTTGGGTCGCTCCTGCGGAATGTGCCAGTAGTTCAGGTCCAAAAAGGGCCCATGATGTAGGGCAACCTCCTCCGACATGAACGCATCTGTTCCAAAGCCCCAAACCCAAACCCCAAACCCCAAACCCCAAACCCCAAACCCCAAACCCTAAACCCCAAACCCTAAACCCTAAACCCTAAACCCTAAACCCTACACTAGTTAAGTGTTAATTAAAGTCCCGGCAAGAGCGCCGAGGCCCAGTTGCGAAAGGAGACGTCTCCCCCAGTGATGCATTTGCTGTGGACATTCAAGATCACACCGGGCCTATGAACTCTATGGTTTGGGTATTTCAGGTTTATAAGGTGTATGCGGCTTGGTGTTTAGGGTTTCAGACCTCAACAAACCAAGTCCTGCAATCAAGCCTCGTAGAATCGAACCCCCCAACCCTGAACTCTACCCTAAGGCCTGAACCCTAAACCCTAAGCCTTAAGCCCTAAACCCTATACCCTAAACCCTAAACCCTAAACCCTGAACCCTGAACCCTAAACCCTAAACCCTAAACCCCACTTGCTTTAGGACTTTCGAAACCTCTGAGAGTCTGCGTCCAGGCTCGGCTGCTACGCCCAACTCTCTCCTGAGGAGGTCCGGGACTCAGGTAGAGTTTAGGGTTTAGGGTTTAGGGTTTAGGGTGTAGGGTGTAGGGTTTAGGGTTTAGGGTTTAGGGTTTAGGGTTTAGTTTAGGGTTTAGGGTTAGGGTTTAGGGTCCGGGACTTAGGTAGGTTTAGGGTTTAGGGTGTAGGGTTTAGGGTTTAGGGTTTTAGGTTTAGGGTTTGGGTTTTGGGTTTTGGGTTTATAAAGGGTTTAGGGTTTCGGGTTTACCTGAACCCTCTCAACCTACAGTTTGATTAATGGGTTAGACCTACTAGTTGAGGGTAGTACTGAACTGTAAGTCTGTAAGGAAAAAGAGTCCTAGGTAGGGCTTGGTTTACGGCTGAGGCTTCTAATAAGAAATCTGCCTTTTCAGCCAGGGTTTCGAAATTTCTTAAAACCCCAAATGGAAATAAGAAAGTTAGGTTTGAACCAGACCCTGAAATATATTTCTTATTCGAGGGTTGATTAGAGGTGAGTATAGGGACAGAGTTGGGGAACATGTAACTCACCAGTGTAGAGCTTTTCGGTGTGCTCTAAGCTCTAAACCCTAAACCCTAAACCCTACACCCTAAACCCTAAACCCTAAACGCGGGCAAGAGGCCCGGCACAAAAAGTCACCTTTTTTGGGCCTTTCCGGCCTGAAACACCTCAAAAAAGGTGACTTTTTGTGCCGAGCCTCTTCCCCTAAGCCCTAAGCCCTGAGCCCTGAGCCCTGAGCCCTTAAAGGCTTCCCCGCAAGAGCCCGGCATCCCCGCAAGAGCCGGCACAAAAAGTCACCTCTTTTGGGCCTTTCCGGCCCCAAGCACCTCAAAAAAGGTGACTTTTTGTGCCGGGCCTCTTCCCCGCAAGAGCCCGGCACAAAAAGTCACCTTTTTTGGGCCTTTCCGGCCTGAAACACCTCAAAAAAGGTGACTTTTTGTGCCGGGCCTCTTCCCCGCATGAGCCCGGCACAAAAAGTCACCTTCCGGCCTCAAACCTCAAAAAAGGTGACTTTTTGTGCCGGGCCTCTTCCCCACAAGAGCCCGGCACAAAAAGTCAGGCCTCTTCCCCGCAAGAGCCCGGCACAAAAAGTCACCTTTTTTGGGCCGATCCGGCCTGAAACGTGACTTTTTGTGCCGGGCCTCTTCCCCGCAAGAGCCCGGCACAAAAAGTCACCTTTTTTGGGCCTTTCCGGCCTGAAACACCTCATAAAAGGTGACTTTTTGTGCCGGGCCTCTTCCCCGCAAGAGCCCGGCACAAAAAGTCACCTTTTTTGGGCCTTTCCGGCCCCAAGCACCTCAAAAAAGGTGACTTTTTGTGCCGGGCCTCTTCCCAGAGGCTTTAGGTTGAGACTACGGGGCTGAAGGGATTAGAGGGTTTGAGGCTTGCAGTTTCTTGGGTTCTTGGTAAATATGACAGAGAACGTTACTTAATGCTTCCTCGGCGGAATTTTTTGGGGCGAGCCCGCGAGGCCCTGGATTTTAAAACGTGTGGCCGGTCCAGGTCCAGATTTCTTAATTAATAAAATCTCTTAACACACTCCTGGGCCGTAGGGCATCTGTGTTTTGAAGTGTTATACCCCATATTGCAAAGCCCCATCCTAGATACGCAAGCTGCAAACTCTGAGGCCCCAAGATTCCCCAAAGGGAGCCTGCAGTATAGAAGCATCGCGTGACGCAGAACAAACTGGCGAAAGAGCGGCTAGCCCAAGGGTTGTAGCGTGTTAGAGGAGTTGAAGGTGTAGGGTTTGTAGGCTTACCTTAGGCTTACCCTAAACCCTAAACCTAAACCCTAAACCTTAAACTCTAACCCTAAACCCTATAAACCCTAAAGAGTTTGCTTCCACGTGCAGGTGGACCCTATCCTGGCTTTCTGCGCAAAGACCGCGGAAGTGCTGGAAGGCTGCTGCTGCAGGGTTTAGGGTTTAGGGTTTATGGTCCAGAAATTTATATTGTTTGCGTTGTCAATGCTTCTCTTGTATTCCCAGGAGCTAGCTGATCGCTGAACCTTCAGAAGGTCCCTAAACCCCTAAGTGCGACGGACTGTATGGGGGGTAAGACTCAACATTCCACCTTTTGGATAGACGTGGGGTTGGAGAATGAAAAGCCGCCAATAGCGATGCTAGAAGCAGAATCAGCCGTTTAAACCCGTAAGCATAGAGCCCATTCTTGCGGGTGGTTGGGGGGTTGGGGGAACGAGATATTCTTGTTGTTTCTCTGGCAGCTTAGCTCATTGGGGGTTGAGGCTTGGTGAACGTCGGTGCTACCGAACAGCTGAGCGCGAACGCTTTGAAGCTCCCAAAGCCCCAAACCCCAGGCCCTCCGAACACAACACCCAACACACACTAAAAGTCATGGCCCCGAATAACAAAGTCTCGACACTAGATACCTCTGAACCCTAAACCCTACAAATTCGAATCAGGCCTCGACCCATTAAACGCAAGAGGTCTCGTGGTGGACACGGAGTCGCAACGATTCGGAGCTTTGACCATGGCGCGATCGCTGCAGGCTAATCTGCGGGGGGTCAACGGCAAGTTTAGGGTTCAGGGTTTAGGGTTTAGGGTTTAGCGTTGGGGATTTTGGGTTTAGGGCTTGCGAATTGCGGCTTCGGATCCCGGACCCTGAAACTCCAAAACCCCCCCAAACCCACTAGAACCCCCGAAAGCCCCCCCCCCCCCCGCCCCCCCCACAACCTTCAGGGCTTGGGGTTCAGGGTTTACCCAACCCCCCCCCCCCCCCCCCCCAAAAAAAAAAAAAAAACAACCCCAAACGCCAGCGAACCCGGAGCCAGGAACCCTGGTGGTAGGGGCTTGCAATGGTTGGGTGTGGTTTTTCGTTCTCGCTCTGGGTGTGGCATGTCTTGAGATGTACCAACAGCCCTTACTAGAGATGACAGTGCCCCCTATTATAATCGCATCAAGGACTGTTAGTATAAGGGGGAACATCCCGACAAGGTTTAGGGTTTGTCTATTCTTTTGATGTTGTTTTTGTTTTTTTTTTTGTTTTTTTTTGTTAAGGGGGGTTGTTGGGATTAGGGTAGCATTGGCAGGATCAAGGCTTCCCGGTTCTCAGACGCGTCGCCATAGTGTGTGTGTGTGTAACTTAGAAGCACTCCTGTACCAACGACCCTGTAGACACCTCAAAAGGACGGCAACGAGCCGGTAGTTAGATTTGTTCTTAGGAATTTCGGTTTTTAGGATTTTCGGGATGCTTTACACAACTATGAACCCTTATACGCCCTAAATCCGAAATCCTGTAGGGCTTAAAGGGACAGAACCTTGTAATCCCGAAGCCCGACAAGTCCTAAACCTGATAATCAACCGGAACCTTAAACCCCTAAACCCTAAACCAGCCCTAGAAGTTATAGGCAAGCCTCAGCCCGCTTAAGGTGGCTGCAGAACATGCGCCGATGCCGTGGGAGTGGCGAGCCTCGGCGGCCATGGTCGCTCCGCGGTTTCGGGTTTCGGGTTTAGGGTTTAGGGTTTAGGGTCTAGGGTTTAGGGTTTAGGGTCTAGGGTCTAGGGGTGTATGGGGCGCAAAAGGTTTTTGGGGATCTGCCGGGTCTGTAGGGCTTGTAGGGCGCATAGGGCTGATAGGGCTTCGCGGGTCTAGAGATGGGGGTTTAGGATTAGGGTCTAGGGTTTAGGGTTTTTAGGGGTTTTCTGGGCTTATAGGGCTTATAGGGTCATAGGGCTTATAGAGTCTACAGAGTTCACTGGGCCTTGGGTGGGGGGACTATAGGGCCTATCTCTGGGGCTCAGTGAGGTCTTGCTTATAGTCTCATAGGGCTAATAGGTATCCAAACCCTGAAACCAAGCCGAATTATGAGCTCCCACGCCCCTAACAGGGAACACCCCACAGGCCCCAGCCTCCAGGCACAATCACCATTATAGAGTTTCGGAGGGATTAGGGTGTTAGAAGGTTTAGGGTTTAGGGCGTTATAGGATTTAGGATGGAGGGTTTAGGGTTTAGTGCGTCACAGGGTTTAGCCGGTTCAGCGTGCTAGGGTTATATATCCCTCAACCCTAACCCTCAACCCTGAACCCTGTGTTCCTGGGTTGGACTGGGTATGTCATCTGCAGCTGCCCAAGCTCCAACAACCGAGCACGATGGCACACTCATGGCCCCGCCAAAGCAGGAGTGCCATGTCAAGTCTTCACCTAGAGCTCTTGAACATTCCTTAGTATAGGGGTTATAGGTAGTATAGGACAGATATGCTCTCGATTTTTAGGGTTCATTTGGCCCTCAAGTCTGCAGGTTCCTACTTATATCGTTGTAGACATTCCTTGGGAGCCATTGCACCAGGCGCCGGCGTCAGCCAGCTCTTCAATATTCTTCAATGCCCCATGCCAGGTTCAAAGGAGGTGGATTCAGTCTGCCAGGGGGGGGGGGGGGGAAGCACACATTACTTCTGCAGCTGGTAGTGCACCCAACAGTCCGAATACGGGACTGAGGGACACGGGTGTAACGGGACCCAATGTGCGCGAGCGTACGCCAGCCGTGAATTTCGAGGATGGGTCAGTCAGCAGCAGCAGCACGGCTGAGGGATCCTCGCTGTCTGCTTCCGTGTGGTCCGTGGTACATCGAGATCTGGCCTCCGAGGAGGCTGTTCAGACAGCAATCCGCCAGGAATGGATGAACGGTCTCTTGTTGGAGCTGGCCATGCGTCTTACAGACCCACAAGCGGCCGAAGCCGTCGCTGCAATAATGGGGCTGGAGGACAAAACATTTACCGACTCCTTTTCGCACCCGGCCAGCATGTTTTTCCAGTACATTCCCAGCAGCATCGAGGTTTGCGTTGGGCAGCTGATTGAGTTGTGGCCTGATAGGGAGGCCTCTCACCTCCACGGTTGCCATTTCATCGCCACTCCGCAGCTTCCACCCGGAATAATGCTGGACGAGAAGTCAGGCTTAGTTTTGGGCAGGGCCCGTGAGCCCACCCCCCCAGGACAAGTCAGCCACTTTATTGTCGCTTGCAACCCAACGCGATGCCCAACGACAGTACGACTTGCATTGGTCAAGCTCAGGGTCAACTGCGCTGACAATGAAGCTTGCTGCAGCATGCCGCCGTTCTATGGTGCAGGGTGTGACTGAGTTTACTGGATGGAATGATTTCGGGATCCGGTTGACGCTCTTATTCCTGCCCATGAAGTGCGAACGGCAAGCACAACGTTTACAAGCACGGTTCTTCGAATGAGCTCGTGACACACTGCAGGCTGACCCTGACCTCAGAAGATGTATTAATAATGGGTTTAGGGTTTAGGGTTTATAAGGTTTGGGTTTAGCGGAACAGCGTTACATCCGAGAGCATATTGTGACTCAGAACTACTCGCTCGCAACACGGCTTCGCAGATCTGTGTGGGGAAACGGAGAGCTTCACTTCCGTACACACACACACACAAATGCTAAGGGTCCTTGTGCCCATATAATACCCACACATGGCATCGAACTCGAGGGCCTGGGCATCTTGTTGTTGCTGACAATGCGTAGAATCTTACAAGGCGCTGGCGAGCCCAGACCCTGAGCCCTAAACACACAGTCGTTATCACAAGGCATCTAGCAGTCTGGCTGTCGGTTTGTGAGCAACACTCGTGCTTCGCAGGCATGTAACCATACAAATTTACTCCTGAATGTCTTGCATGAATAAGAGCCAACTCCTCACCTCGGTGGGGTCGCATCTCTGCTGATGCTGACCTTCTCGAGCCGCGAGCACAGAAAGTGCCCTGCGTGACCAAGAAAAGGCATTGCCCAGGTTTCGCAACTCTCCTCAGCCCCTGCTGGCTGGTGCCGGTGCATTTGCAAGTAGCGTACCTCCGGTGTCCAACATGAAGCGTTTCGGCTTGCTCCATGTTAGTAACACTTGCAGCAGCCCTCGCTGGCCTTATACGTAGCCGTAGACCCTCTATCATCATGAGAAAGGGTCCAGGAAGTAGGCTGGAGGTTCAAGCGCCTAAACAAAAACCCCAAATTTCCTAAACTCAAAAACCCTCAATAACCCGAGTCCCAGAGCCCTAAATTTATTTTGGTAGGCCAATTCGGTCCCTGGGTCTTGCCCCCAAGATTGCTGCCTATCCGAGGAGAGCCTATCATGGAGCGTGCTGCGCCCAATCTGCTGATATGGGGGGGTGTCCCAGAATAGGAGTACCCTTTTTTTGGGGGGTCCTAGAATAAGAAGTATATAGTATTTGCGGGTATTAGGGGTGCCCCGTTTGGAAATGGCCATAAAGAGTTCAAAACCCTAGACCCAAAGCTTGCAGAAGCAAACCCTGAAGACTTCAGGTTTGGTTCGGGCTTAGGGTTCGCGGCTTTACTTGTCTCGGGTCTCCATTTAACCGCCGGTTTGGGGGGGGGGGGGGGGGGGGGGGGGGGGGGGGGGGGGGGGTAGGTTTAGCAAACCCATATGCCAGCGTAGACCCCAAAGAGTGAGGTACCATGCCACATCAGCACACCACCCACACACACATTCAAAAGTGGCGCCTGTTTCGCATTTGGTAAACGTCCAAAATCGACGACGGTGTCGCACTTCGTGAACCCAGAAGCCAAAACGTGATGACAGATTCGAGGACAGCGAGCACAGCACGCCTGCCAGGCAAGAACTCGATGAGCTGGCTGCGAGAAAAGTGCAAGGTCCAAGCCTGTGCACGCCGTGCGCCACTCCATCTAGCCCCTCTCACTGCTCTCACCTCGCGTTGGAACCTCCCCAGCAGTTTGGACACTCTGTGTGGGGAAGCCCAAAACCCTAAAGCCTAAACCCCAAACCCCAAACCCCAAACCCTAAACCCTAAACCCGTTTCTGTCAAGTACAAGGCATGGGCTGCTTGTCGCCTCGATATCAATGCCTGGCCTTGCCACACGGGAGAGGGGCAGCGACTGGGCTTCAGGGTTTGGGTTTAGGGTTTAGGGTTTAGGGTTTAGGGTTTAGGGTTTAGGGTTTAGGGGTTAGGGTTTGGGGTTTGGGGTTTGGGGTTTAGGGTTTAGGGTGGGCCTTGGGTTCAGAGTTCCTTCTGTAAACCCTAAGCCTAAAGCCCCAAACCCTCAAGACAATTAGGAAACCCCTGTAACAGGTTGCGGTTAGGTTTTCGGTTTTTAGGGTTTAGGGCTTAGGGTCTGGGATCCTCCACACTAAACCCTACATTTGGAGTATGGTTATGCATGTCTCTGAGACCCTTTTGCAGCCTTATCTTGAACCCTTGTACTTAGTTACAAAGCCGTGGTTTCACAAAGTGCAGATGGCACATCCGGAAGAGGGCTCATTCATGCTTACCTAGGGGGGTTCAAGTTTTGTGGGGTCGTCAACCCCCGAGGGAGCATGAAAGGGAAAAAACCCTAAACCCTAAACCCTAAACCCCAAACCCCAAACCCTAAACCCTAAACCCTTAGGCGAGCTTGGCTGCGACATGCTTGGCTCCTTGCCCGTGTCTCCTCGGCCGACACGCAGGCGAGCGCTCAGCGCATCCTCAGCAGCTCCACGACCGCAGCTTAGGGTTCAGGGTTTAGGGTTTACGGCTTAGGGTTTAGGGTTTAGGGTTCAGGGTTTAGGGTTCAGGGTTCAGGGTTTAGGGCTGAGGATTTAGGGCTTAGGGCTTAAGGTTTTTTGTTTAAGATTTTTCACTTGGGTATAGGGTACAGGGTTTACAGTTCTGGGTTTAGGGTTTAGGATTTAGAATTTGCAATATCTTTGCAATCAACTTTAAAGGCGCTATCTCCCCAAGCAACAACCAAAACCAAGCCCCCAAGCCACATATCCTTGGAACCTCAGACCTGAGCTGACGTAGGCTACCAGAATAATCCAGAATAGGGATACGAACAGTTCCCTAAACCATAACACCTAACCCCTAAACCCTAAACCCTAAACCCTAAACCCTAAACCCTAAACCCCTGAACCCTCCGAAACGGAGGCGCTGTGGAGCCCACCTTTTCGCTCCCTGAGAGTGCCGCTCTCAGCCTCCTTGGAGCTTTTGCCGCGGCGCACCCTGGGCAGAAGCAGGAGTTATTGGTTTAGGGTTTAGGTTTGGGGTTTGGGTTTAGGGGTTTCGTGTTTGGGGTTTGGGGTTTAGGGTTTAGGGTTTGGGGTTTGGGGTTTAGGGTTTTGGGGTTTAGGGTTTGGGGTTTAGGATTTCAGGGTATCGGGTTTGGGGTTTCGGGTTTAGGGTGCGGGTTCGATTTGGGTTCATCGGCATTGCGGCTGGTTAGGGCTATGTAGGTTGTTGGGGCAGTTGGCTTCGGGGCGTAGATACCAGGTGGGCGGGCATACGGAGTAGGTTGGGGTTTGGAGGATGTAGAATCTAGACCTGTTCCCCTTGATAAACGGCACGGTCTCAGGGTACCAAACAGACCACTGGTCAAAGAAAGCTCCAGTCCAGGGTCTTACATCGCCTTTTGTGCGAGAGGCCAGAGAGAGGCTGAACACCCTGAGCCCCAAGAACCCCTGTGTGCCCAACAGATTTCAATGCCTGGCAGCCTTCCAAACTCGATGTCGCCATGAGCCATCAGCTCGCAACTCACCTCCGAAACCCGAAGCCCCCCAACGCAACAAGCATGGGCATCACCAAACCCTGAAAACTCCCAAGCCCATGACCTATCCCCTAAACCCCCAGAAGCCCTATTTAAAACCCTCTATAAACTCAGAAAAAGCTAAATGAAACGATTAAGCCGTAAACTACACCCTATAAAGCCCCAAAAGCCTAAGCCGAAACCCTGAGAAGCCCCAGAGCACCCAGGCACTTTGACCTCGCTTTTCCCACCCCGGCGCTCCGCGGCGCGCTGACAGCGGTGGAACAGATGCGGGAAGTGCAGCTTGTGCCTACATCAGTCGTTCAGGGTTCAGGAGGTGGTTCATGGGAGTTTTTTGGGTTAGGGTTTAGGGTTTAGGTTTGTAGGGTTTGGAGTTTCGGGGGTGGTTGGGTTTAGGGTGTCGTTCCTTTTGCCTCAGGGTGCGGTGTTCCACACATCGGAAGCTCACACAAGACCCTCTAAACCCTGAACGCTCACCTCCCAAGCTTTCTCTCAGCTCACCAACAAGATGTTTGAGAAACCCAGCTGAACCCGGAGCCCCGAAGATCCCCAAAGCCTTCAAGGGTTTAGGGTTTAGGGTTTAGGGTTTAGGGTTTGGAGATCTCCCTTTCCGTGGCTGCACTTTGTGGCCCAGTATGTTGCGCCCTGGCTCCGGCCGTGCCTGTATGTCCACTCGCCCGCTCCTTGTCCCTGTTCTCCTGTTTGTCATGGTGCTGGTCGCCATGGCAGTGGCCGCAGTCTTTGGAGTTCTTCCGGGGATGGTGCTTGCAGACGTTGACACCTCTGACGTGAAGCGTTGTGCCGTGGGTTTCGCTTGTGGTGCCATACAGCCCCTGCTGCCTGGCGGCGCGATGACGCAAGCAATCGGAGGTGGAGCATGCTTGGTGGCGGGATCCTCGGCTTTCCAACAAGGGATTCAAAAGGCAGAGGAGGACAAGGCCAAGCCATTTCGACAGTGCGCTCACGAGAAGATGCACAAAGAAGCCATGCATCAAGAGGATGCGGGCAAGATTAGGCAATGTGTGCATGACAAGTTTGCACAATGCAAGACGCCCTGCTTGAATCCAAAGTTGCCACAAGCGCAACGGCTAAGCTGCCTCAAACAATGTTCACAGGTTGGAAGCTCATGCAAGCCGGCACCCCCTCACCTTCCAAGTGATGCCTTTGAAAAGGCCCTGGCGGCCTGTGGCTACAGCCCTCCCTCTGCAATCGTGCCCATTGGAGAGACGCTGACGTGCATGATCTTGGGGCAATCCATCCTCCAGAGGTGGGTGACCGAAGAGGCCGAAGACGAAGGCATGCAAGCTTCAGAGAAAGTTGTTGAAGATGAGGTGGAGACCCAGATCGGTGAGTCCGACAGTGAAGAAGAAGATTTAGAGGCGGAGGCGGAGGAGGAGGCGGAGGCAGAGCGACAGGCGCAGGCACGCGCTGAGGCACAGGCTCAGGCGCGCGCTGAGGCAGAAGCTCAGGAAAGGGCTGAAGAAGAGGCTGAGGCAGAGGCTGATGAGGAGGCTGGGGCAGCTGAGGTTGGGGCTGCAGAGGCTGGGGAAGCAGAAGCAGGACTGCTTCCCCTGCTGATTCCCGAATTTGCAGCGGTGAATGCTACAATCTCCAAAAACCAACGTCGGCCACTTCGCATCGTCCCGACTGCTTCCTCCGTGAAACATCTACAGGATCAGTATAAGGAAGAGGTAGATCAAGAGGTTCGTCGAGCGGAGACGGCCTCTTTGCGAGGTGCACGGGTTCAGCCACGCCTGGCCGAGACTGGAGTGTGTATGGTGCTTTTTGCTTCGCCAATGCTGCTCTTGCTCTTGACGCGCATGACTCCTATGCCGCGTGAGTATGCCCGCCCACTTCTTGCAAGCTCCGAGCCACAGGCAGTGGTTGCGTGAAAGATCTTGCAGAGGAGACAGAGTCGAGGCTGCTTGCCAAGTTTCGTTTATCATGCTTATGAGCTGGCACAAGTCCCGTTGTGCACGTGCAGATCTTTGAGCCCATCTGCCAGCAATCCCAGCAGGTCTTTGTGGGCTGAACTAAAGCACTGCCCTATATACCCAAGCCCTAAATCCCTGTTTCAAAGTTCACTTCTTGTAAAGGCCTAAGTGGGTCTTGATGCAATTACCGGGCACCTAAAAGCACCCTCACAGATGTGGAATATCAAAATACTCTGCGAAAAAAATCCACAGTTGGGCCACCATTTAGATCCAAGCCCTAACTCCCAATACCTAAACCCCACCCTAGACTCCTAGACATTCCAAAGCACGCAACTAAACCCTAAACCCTAAACCCTAAACCCAGGCGGCCCTGGCAGAGAGCGCTTCTCCTCCCAGGGCTGGCTGCTTCTGGCCCACTTTCTGCGCCGCTGCTGCAGCTGCAAAGCAGGTGTCTGGCCTTTGAGGCTCTGCTTCGTTATGTTGGGGGTTTAGGGTTTAGGGTTTAGGGTTTAGGGTTTAGGGTTTAGGGTTTAGGGTTTAGGGCGAGGGTGCAGCGTTTTGGGGTTTGGGGTTCAGGTTTTCTGTGGAAAGAAGGCGGAAACCCTCCAGAACACCGCCAAGAGTAGCTGCCCGTTTTTTTTGGGGCGTACGTCAGGATGTTTCCTAGAGTAGCCGGTTTTCATAAGTTGGGGTTAAACTAACTATAGGCACCATATCTGCAAGCACATCTAGTTGTATTGTGGTGGTGTTTGGAGTTCAGGGATTGCTTGCAGTTTGGGAGGGGGTTGGGAGTGTCCAATATTTGCCGCCCCCTTTACGAGGGTCATTTTGTATAGACGGATCCTACAAAAAGAAGGCGACCCTGCTGGTGAGTCGTTGGCTCTGGCGCCTGCATCCTTTTGACCCCTACCTCAATCAGCTAGAGAAACATAATTAGGCCCCACCAAATGGTGGATTGGTAGTTGGGGACTTGGGGAGCCAAGCTATGGCTAGATGCGAAGATATTTTTGCGCAGCGTGTGCACCCAACATCCGCCAACGTAGTGTACTCTTCTCTTGCAAGACGACGACTGGAGATGTGGAGGCTTGTGGCAAAGATACAACGCAATCGTAGTTTAAGACGAGTTGGCGAATCCCTTGCTCGGGAAGAGTCTTGGATCAACAGGCATGAGTGGAGCTGTAGAGATTAAGTGCCGGTGGTGTGGGAAGCCGGGTCCCGAGATACGCGCAAACAATTCGTGTGGTGTCTGTCGTTCTCTTGATAGGGTCCGAGGATTATGCAACCGGCTTCCCATTACTGCGAGCCCAGCTGTGTTAGGCAAGCTTAAGGAGCTTGAAAGTACCCTCAGGGATTGGTTGCCTTTCGGTGGACCCCCAGATGATTTCGAGCAAAAGCGTGAGCTTTCACCTGAGCCTGTCAGCCTTGCACAAGCCCTTAAAGCTACACCTAAGAGCGCGAGCCATAGCACTGCCGAGCCAGCCTCATCCGATCCGCCATTTGAGAGTGGGGGTCACGGGCGAAAGCGCAAGAAGAAGAACAAGGGGCGAAGCCGCCAATCTTGGAAAGCTGCTCGTGACGCTATTGCTCTTAGCCGTTCAGAGCTGGCCGATCCTACCGCGGAAGACCGCGAGTTCACGTCCGATTCCGAGCTGGATTGAAACTGGTCTGCATCTATATGGGTCCCCAGAGGAAACCTTCGACTCGGCATCGTTCGAGATCCCCGCCTCCCATTCTGCGACGTAGACAGTTCAAGAAGGGCATTCCTTACGATTATCAGGGCCGGCTCTCACGTGGGGATACCTTGGCCTTGAGCATAGTTCCTTTGAGTTTTTGGGAACCCGGTAGGAGATATCAAGTCAAAGGGGACTATTGGGGAAAGACAACGTTGATTTGTGGGACTTTGGAGACTTTGGCAGTAAGTCGCACCGGTTCATACTTGTATTTGACCCTCAGTGGCACTGACAATCTTGAGCTGCAGCGATGGGCCGAGAACCTCACAGTCAACGGCCAGCCTCCCGAACTGACAATCCACATATGCCCCCCAACATGTCCGAGGACGGCAGTGGCAGCTTCATCAATGCATGGCATGGAAGTGTCAAGAGAGGACAGTGGGGCAGTTTGGGCCCGAAACGTCGAGAGTCTTCCCCAAGGCATGGTTCCTGCGCCAGGGGCAGGCTTGGAACAAGAGTTAGCCGCACTAGCAGGAGGAGTCCCCATAGACACCGGGAAACAAGCCGCTCGCCACTCCCCAGACAAAGACCAAGTCAAAACCGGCTCCCACAGCTACAAAGGCACTCCTTTGGACCCCCAAAAGAAGCTCAAGAGTTTTCTGAAGAAGAAGAAGAAGAGGGAGAAGAAAAAGGGGAGCCGCAAGATGAAGCACAAGAAGGACAAAGCAAGTGGGAAGAATCAGGAGAGCAGCTACAGCAACACCAGCACCAGCAGCAGTGGGAGTACAGCGGACTCTCAAGACTCTCATCCCTTTCAAGATTCCCATCGGGTGAAGAAACTAGCGCGCAACAAGCCTGGGGTGTTGATTCGGCATGCTTTGGACGAAATGTCACGCCTACTCGTAGAGGATACAGGCGAGGAGGGAGCTCACAAGGTAGCCCCAATCGTGCTGAAGTATGTGCGTCTTCATCTGGCAAACAAGGGCATGAGTCCAGGGGTGAAGAGAGAGTTGCTCACAATCGCCTACACGCTAGACCAGTTGATTCGGCGCAACATCTTGGGTGGTCTCGACATTTTAATTCAGCGGCTGAAGGCTATAGAGTTGGTGGTCGCCGGCGCAGCTTGGGCTGTGGCTCAGAATGTCGAGCTGGTGCCTCTAGAGCAGGAGCGAGTGGCAAGCGTAGCAGAAGCACACGAAGCAGCGAAGGAGTTCAAGCAAGATTCCAAGGTTTGGAGAGAACTGGGCAAAGGCAAAGGGCAGCTTCCCTGGAAAGGGGATTGGAAAGGCAAGCCCGGGGACAAGGGAGAGAAAGGAGATGGCAAAGGGAAATGGTGGGCAAAGCAGAGGGGAGAGCGAGAGAGATACGCAGCAGCCAAGGTGGAGCCCACCAGACCAGCTTGAGAGAGGGTGTTCCTAGCTCTCCTTTAAGTAGGAGGGTAAGGGATGCTCCTCGTGGATGGTCTCCAAGCGCAGGAAGCAGATGCGTGGGGGCGTCGCTGGCGGCGTCAGCCGCCGAGAGGCCTTCTTTAGCAGGTTTGGTTTCAGAACAGTCGGACGAGGTATTGTTTCCAGAGTCGTCGAGAACTTTAGGAAGGTTTTTGATGGAATATGCTCTGGGCAGTGGTACTTCTACTTTTGCCAAGTGGTTGCAAGATTTCTGCGAGGGGAAGGGAGCTTCCATGGCAGAGGGAACAACTGAAAATAAAAACATCTTCCCTCTGCCCCTGCCCAGCGCAGTCGATTTGGTAGATGCTTTGGATACACATCAGGACGAAGATTTGTGGGTGTATCTGTTGGTGGCTAGCCTAAATTACATGCACGGGGGAAATGGCGCGCATTTCAATCAGCGACCTCCTTCTACAGTCCAGAAACTATGTCTGGATTATCTACGTTCCAGAGTACAAGCTTTCATGTCTCACAGTTTCACGTTGTCAGAGTTTGATTGGAAAGATTTTTTCAGCACGCAGAGTTTGAACTATGTTGGGGATGAAGTCAAAACAGCGAAATGGACTACATGGGCGAATTTAGAGCCAGCCCTGCCTTATGGGCACATCGGGGCCATCAACGTCCTTGACTTGGCGGACGGAGGAGTGCGAGAGCTTCTCATGGACCCGCTTCAGTTTCTCAAGCCTCGATGGGATGAGCGGCCGGTGCGCTCCTCAAGGGTGATGGTGCAAGAAGCAGCTTGGGGCGAAGTGGCCCGCGGCTTGGTCAAGTACAACTTGTGCGCAGTTCTGCCAGAGAGTGCGTTGGTTGCACCAGGTGGGGTGCCACTTCGAAATGGCCTTTTTGGCATCGAGAAAGGAGAGGTTGCCAACGGTCATGCTGTGCACCGTCTTATTATGAATTTGGTGCCGTTCAACACCGTCTCCCTTTCCATTGAGGGGGACGTGGGAACACTTCCCATGCTTTCGCAGATGAACTGCCTCCAGTTGCATCCTCAAGAGTTCCTTGTCGTCTCTTCTGAGGATATACGCTGCATGTACTACCTCTTTGCCTTGCCAAGCTCATGGTATCCATTCCTGAGTTTGAACATGCCAGCACCGCAAGACCTGGTGCCACCACATGTGGAGGAACCATGCTTTTTGGTTTCCAAAGTGCTGCCTATGGGCTACTTGAACTCCGTGGGCATCGCCCAGCACCTGCACCGAAACCTCATCACACGAGCCCAAGGTGGCCCTACCCGGTGCGTCCCTTGGGCAGAGCTCCGAAAGGATAGAGCGTGGTCGCAGGCCAACCCTGTTTGGCGAGTTTACCTGGACAACCTAGATGTGCTCGAACGGGTGCGTCCTGAACTCGCGGTCATGTTGGAGGGCTCCCTCAATAATGACCTCAAACCGCTCATTCAAGAGTACGAGGAAACCGGCGTCCCTTTGAATGCGAAGAAGTCGGTCAAACAATCCACGTTCGCAGAGGTTCAGGGTGCCGAGATTGACGGCAAACTAGGTTTGGCCCGCCCCAAAGGCGACAAGTTGGCAAAGTACACCAGCGCAGTCTTGAGTTTGCTCCGCCGAGGATGGTGCAGCCAACGGGAGATGCAAGTTGCAGCTGGCGGCTTGGTCTATTTCGCAATGTTCCGTCGTCCCTTGATGAGCGTCCTGAATTTCGTGTGGCGTTTCATCCAGTCCTTCGAGATTACCAGGCAACGCCGCTTGCCAATCCCCACGGGAGTTCAGTCAGAATTGCTTCTTTTTCTGGGCCTTCTTCCTCTTGCTCACATTGACTTCCGAGTTGTTAGCTCAGACATCGCTACCGCCAGTGACGCATCATGTTTGGGCGGGGGAATTTGCGCAAGTGATGGTCTGACCGAGCTTGGAGCAAAGGTGGCTGTAGCGCCTTTTCGCGGACAACAACAGGGTGATGTTCCGGATGCCGGCCTGGTGTGCATCAGCCTGTTCGATGGAATCAGTGCGGCCAGAGTTGCCTTGGAGGTCTTACAAGCCCGGGTCTGCTTGCAAGTGTCGGTGGAGCCCGACCTTTCAGCTCGGCGTGTCGTGGAAGCCAACTTCAGCGATGTCATTCACGTTGCCAAGGTGGAGGACATCACTGCGGAGATGTGCCGGGAATGGGCCAGCAAATCAACTCGAGCCTCACTGGTGCTACTCACTGCAGGTCCACCGTGCCAAGGCGTCAGCTCCTTGAATGCCCATCGAAAGGGGGCCATGGATGATGAACGCAGCCGATTGCATTTTGCCGTCCAACATGTTCTCAGCCATGTGCGAGAAGCTTTCCCCTGGTGCCGTACTGCTTTCTTCCAAGAGAGCGTCTGGAGCATGGATGCCGAGGACAGGAAAGTGTATACGCAAGCGGCTCAGGTCCTCCCCTATCGGGCCTGTTGTTCCGGGATGGTTCCGTGCAAGCGGGACCGCCTTTACTGGTTTGACTGGTCCCTCGAGTCCGAACCAGGTGTCACGCTGTATCCCCCTCCAAATTCGGCTGCAGAATCATATGGCCAAGTCGTGTTCAACACAGATGTGGACACAAGCGGGCTCTTCAAGCCAGGATGGGCGCCGCCCACAGGAAAGACGCCAGGCACTTTCACCACCGCACAGCCGTCGCTGCTGCCCCGCCCATGGCCAGCAGGCCTCGCACGTTGCGATGAGTCCACTTTGCAGCGATGGCGGGCCGATCGGCACCGTTTCCCTCCTTATCAATACCGGCCCGCTGCATTGCTTTATCATCCCGACCGCCCGGAAGGTCGTATTCCCGACGTGCAGGAGCGAGAACGACTGCTTGGATTCCCGGTGGATTACACGTTCACCTGTTTGCCCAAGAATGAAATCAAAGCCAACCCGCTTCGACACGAGGACGTGAGGATGACCCTCCTAGGCAACAGCTGGTCGGTGCCTGTGGTTGCCTACTTCTTTCTTCAGCTGCTAAAGCCGCTCCGACTCTGCCGACTCAGCTCTTTGCGTGACGTGCTGCTCACCCTGTTCACAGAGGAACCCATCTCGGGCGAGGCTCTCCTTTCTTGGAGGGCCCTCCGGCACTCGACAACTGCTAAGTCCCCTCAGGTGCCCAACGCAGCCCTGTCCACCTCCCACGCGGACAGCGCTTCGCAAGTCTCGCCCTCTCACTTAACTACTCAGTTGGCAACCTTGGCATCCATGAAAGGCGAGGATGTACTCATCCAGATGTCTCACGATGCCCGGATTCCTCAAAAGTTTCGCCGCAGCGTCCCAGTCGAACTGTGGACATGGAAAGAGATCTGTGGATGGCGATGGGCTGCGCAATCCACAGAGCATATCAATCGCCTCGAGCTGCGAGCAGTGTACACATCCCTGCGATGGCGCCTGTTGAGGCGCAAGGAAGTCCGAACCAAATTCGTCCATCTGACCGATTCCTTAGTTTCTTTGCATGTCATCAATCGCGGACGGAGTAGTTCAGTCAAAATCCAAACTTTGATGTATCGCGTCGCGTCCCTGCTTTTGGCCACTGGCTTCCACCCTTGCCTCGCTTATGTCTCGACTCACACCAATCCCGCAGACCGCCCGTCCAGGCGGGCCCGTGTCCGCAAGAAATGGTCAAAGTGACCACCGTTGCTGCAGGTCGAGACAAGCAAGCAAGGAAAGCCGCCCGCTCGGCGCTGGGTACGCTACGCGAAAACACAGTTGCTCCAAAAACTCGGGAGCGCTACACCGCCGCTTTAACGATTTTTTTCTTCTTTTGTCGGTCTCACCAGCACCGTGTCCCAGATGACCCGGCTCGCCTGGATCTTCTCCTAGGCGACTACATCGACTTTTTGTGGCAGGACGGCGAAAGCTTGTCCCTCGTCACCGATTGTCTTTCCGGGTTGCAGGACCTCAGGCCTCTGTTGCGGGGCCACTTGCCTTTGTCATGGCGCTTGGTGCGTACGTGGCAAAAGCACGAGATGCCAGCAAGAGCACCTCCGCTCCCGGAAGAGCTGCTTCAGAGTATGGCCGGTTTTTGTAGTATGCAGGGTCGCCACCTTTTTGCATTAGCCTTGCAAGTCGCTTTCTATGGAGTACTGCGGACCGGAGAGCTCCTGGCCCTGCAGGCTCGACACGTGGATGTGTCCGAAAGAGGAGACTTCGCAGTTCTCAATTTGGGCTACACAAAAACGTCGCAGAGACTGGGTGCAGCCGACTCTGTCACCCTTAGAGTCTCTTATCTTTGCCAGCTTTTGAAAGTCTGGAAGCAGCGCGTGAAGCCTCACGCGTTCTTGGTCCCTACGTCCGCGTACTTGTTTCGCAAAACTTTTGACGACTGCCTCAAGGAGTTGCAGATCCATACGTGGGCCTTCCGCCCTTACAGTCTTCGGCGCGGCGGAGCTACCGCGTATTTTCGCAAGAATCCCAGTTTTGATTTCGTACGGCAGATGGGCCGTTGGTCCAGTGATCGTACTGCGCGTATCTATTTGAATGATGGCCTAGCTCAGCTCGCCACCATGGAGTTCAGCGTTGCGAGGCCGCCTCTTCAGCGGCCTTTTCAGTTCTTTCAGTCGCAGCTTCGCCGCGATCCCTGCGGAACAGGAGGGGGACGTGGATAGCGCCATACTTGGGGAGACAGGCAGCAAGTGAAGAGGACCTAAAGAAAGCTTTCTTAGTAGACCTGTGAGTCCTTACGTTAGCTATTCAAGTTCGGTCCTGTTGCGTGCTGCCTTGACTTGTGAGATTTGTAAGTCTCCCAGATGGCAAGATTTGTAAAACTATCCGGGGTGGCAGATTCTTTGTTGACAAACACTTCTCCTCGCAGAGACAAAAGAGGGAAGAGCCAATCCGAGTCTTAGATACAACGCAATCGTAGTTTAAGACGAGTTGGCGAATCCCTTGCTCGGGAAGAGTCTTGGATCAACAGCCCGCCCTCTCCGCCCTGTCGCAGGCGCCGCGGCTGACTGTCTCGCTGGTTCCTTTCTGTTTTTCCCTCCGGATAGCGCCATACTTGGGGAGACAGGCAGCAAGTGAAGAGGACCTAAAGAAAGCTTTCTTAGTAGACCTGTGAGTCCTTACGTTAGCTATTCAAGTTCGGTCCTGTTGCGTGCTGCCTTGACTTGTGAGATTTGTAAGTCTCCCAGATGGCAAGATTTGTAAAACTATCCGGGGTGGCAGATTCTTTGTTGACAAACACTTCTCCTCGCAGAGACAAAAGAGGGAAGAGCCAATCCGAGTCTTATCCCAACATCGTCGTACTCGAGTGGGACCCCTAGACCGAAACGAAACCTACCCTTTCTTCGGCTTTGGAGTCCCTGAAACACCCCTGTAAACCAAAAAGGCCGGCCTTACTGCTTGGTTACTCTTGGGTCTGTAACCCAAGCTTCCAAAGTACTCCCACTAATTCCCTAAGGTTCCCTAGGTACCTACCCCCCTCCCTTACGGACCCTATAATTACCCTAATTATCAAGGTCCGTAAACCCTAATATATGGAAGAAGTCAAAACTTCCCTGACGCTCTCGAAAAGGAAACCGACCTCGCTGAGCCCGCAGAGAGTCTTGGACGGTCCATGTTGACCTTTTTGCTTTAGTCAGACCTGGGTTTTGGGTTTACTGTTTAGGGTTTAGGACTAGGCGAAAACCGATGTTGGAACCGGGCCGGGGGGGGGGGGGGGCCTAAAAAAGCAAACTGCAGCAGGCGACTGCCCCCCCCCCCCCAGATTTGGGAGGGAAATCGAAGATAGGGTCCAGTGCCTTAGAGCAGACAGGATCACTAACCGTAAACCTTTGAAACCCTAAAACCCCGGATTATGCCCGAAGCCCGTTTGCTCCAGGAAGTTTAGGATTCAGGTTTAGGGTGTCTAAGCACCTAGAACCTCGGACCCTAAACCCTAAACCCCAAACCCCAAACCCCAAACCCCAAACCCCAAACCCCAAACCCTAAACCCTAAACCCTAAACCCTAAACCCAAACCCTCGACCCAATCCACGCGAGCTCAGCCGAGGCTTGCCGTAGCTGGCCTGCTCCTCCTTGCCAAGGACGAGGCCGAGGCCGATGCGCAAAGTGGCCTGGCAAGAGCTAGGGTTTAGGGTTTAGGGTTTAGGGTTGAGGGTTTAGGGTTTACGGTTTAGGGTTTAGGGTTTAGGGTTTTTTGGTTTAGGGTTTATAGGGTTTATAGGGTTTATAGGGTTTATAAGGGTTAGGGTTTTGGGGTTTTGGGGTTAGGTTTGTTTAGGGGTTCTTAGGTTCATAGGTTTGTTTGGGTTATTGTGGCTTATAAGGGAAGAATGGTTGTGGGCTTTGGGGGGCTTCAGGGTTTAGATCTTTAGGACAGAGGGTCCGGGTTTGGGGCTTAGAAGTTTGGGGGCTTCGGTGTTTAGATCTTTAGGGCATAGGTTCCGGGGTTTAGGGCCCAAGCAATGTTATAAGATTTGCTGTGTAGGGTTGTGATGTGCCGCCAGACTCCTACAAGTCGGGGCATGTCACTAGAACCCGATTGCATGCCTTAAAGCCCTGAGCCCAAAATGTCCGTTTCTATTCCGCGCCCCCCCCCCCCCCCCCCCCCCCCCCCCCCCCCCTCAAAGCCCATAAGCCCTGAAAATGCGAACCCATAAAGCCTCAAAACCCTAAAACACAAGCAGCCCCTATACCCTTAAACCCTTACACCCTTAAACCCTTAAACCCTGAAACCCTTAAACCCTTAAACCCTTAAACCCTTAAACCCTTAAACCCTTAAACCCTTAAACCCTTAAACCCTTAAACCCTTAAACCCTTAAACCCTAAACCCTAAACCCTACAACTCCCCAGGCTGCCAAGCCGCCGGGCGCCTTCTGCGGGATGCGCTGGGCGGCGCCGTTGAGGCGGCTGCGCGGCTGCACGGTTTCGAGGGCCTCTTTGAACAGGTTTAGGGTTTAGGGTTTAGGGTTTTAGGGTTTAGGGTTTAGGGTTGAGGGTTGAGGGTTGAGGGTTTATTAGGGACTTTTGTAGGGGCTTTTTGGTGTGTTAATGGGGCTTTCTAGGGGTATTCTAGAATTGGGGCTTTACGGGTTTTGGGGCTTCAGGACTTTACTGGAGGTTTTGGTCTAGGAATTACGTTCAGTCGAGTCGTGTGTGGGGTTCTGGGCTTAGGGTGGTTTGGGGTTCGCAGTATAGGTCGGTTTTGAGATCCGGGATATTTAGGGTTTAGTGGTTGGGGCTTCTGAGGGTCTAGCTGGTAGGTTTAGGGTTTTGTTTCGTTAATGGATGGGGTTTGGAGTTGCACAAGGCTGCAGTCTTTTGGGTTTTCTGGTGTTTTGGGGTTGAGGGCTCATTCGTAGTCCCAAGCCCTACAAAGGTTTGCAAGAGAGACCAACAGGCATGGAGGCAAGAAACGTGAAACGCTGCGCAGACGAGCTTCAACCCATGCAAGCTGAGATGCTAAACCCTAAACCCTAAACCCTAAACCCTAAACCCTAAACCCTAAACCCTAAACTTGCACGCTGGTGTCCCCCGACCACCGAACCCCTAAACTACCTTCACTTTCACTCCAAATCCTTGCCAGCTTGGAGCAACAACGATTCCCTGTTGGCGCAGCGAATCGAGGGGATGTGCCAACTTGCCGTTTCTCTGTCGCAAGCAGACAGCTTGCTGCGCGAGATCCCCTTTGATGCAGATGACAACGTCCTTCTGGAGGAGCCGCCGATGGACCCGGATGTACCTGAGGCGCAAGAACTTCCGGAAACACACTTCTGGGATTCAAGCCTGGAGGCGGAAACCTTTGGTCTCATCCTGCCAGAAGATGTTCATTTGCGAATCCTGACTGAGCAATGGTCCGAGGCTCTTGCAGCTGGATGCAAATGGGTCGAGACCCAGCGATACCGCAGGAACAATATGAACATGCTCAAGTTTGTCAAGGATGGCTGCTGGTTGGTCTTCGGTTCCAAAGAACGACTGCATGGTATTGCGGTCTTGGATGCTCCAGTGCATCGCGCCTGCGCTGACATTGGTACTAGCGGTGTCTTGGATTCTGTGGCACCGCAGTTCCACGAGCCCTTGCTTAAACCCTAAACCCTAAACCCTAAACCCTCAACCCTAAACCCAAACCCCTAAACCCTAAGCCCTAAACCCTAAACCCCAAACCCTAAACCCCAAACCCCAAACCCCTAAACCTCACACCCCCAAACCCTAAATCCGATTGCTACATCCGATCCCTTGGACGCCCTGGAAGAGCAGGTTACAGTAGGGCCTCAAGCCCCTCCGCCTTCACTCTGCATCCCGAAGCCGAACCCTAAACCCTGAACCCTAAACCCTAAACCGTAAACCCTAAACCCGAAAACCCTAAACCCTAAATCCTAAACCCTCGCCCTAAACCCTAAACCCTGAACCCCCTGTTAGCTTCGACAGGTCAGTTTCCTAGACGAGGGTCTTTGTTCTTATGTGCTCAACTACCAACACCTTATGCCTTAATACCCTAAACCCCAAGACCCCAAATCCCAAAACCCTAAACCCGACCCTCAAGCCCGACACCCCGAAACCCCAAAGCCGAACACACCTAGACGCCAAAGCGCAGGAGCTCTATCCTGAAGCCCCCAACACCCTGCACAAACCCTGAACCCTGAACTCTAAACCCTCCTAAACCCTAAACCCTAAACCCTAAACCCTAAACCCTAAACCCTAAAGGCCCAAACCCCAAAAAAGCGATACCCAGGATTCCGACTGGCCGCTTATCACGCTGGCGGCCCTGGGCATCCGACCCTTTTGCCTTGTAGGGATTTAGGGTTTAGGGTTTAGGGTTTAGGGTTTAGGGTTTAGGGTTTAGGGTTTAGGGTTTAGGGTTTAGGGTTTAGGGTTTAGGGGTTGCGTTTTTGGCATTTAGGGATTCAGGAATCATGGACTTCAGGATTTAGGGTTTAGGGATGTCGGGTTCAGGGTTTCGGGCTTTAGGGTTTGCAGGCGTTAGGGTCTGTTGGTTCGAAGGTTTACAAGGTGCTGGGGCTTGTAAGTTTTAGATGCCGAAACCCTGCACCCTTTATGGCACTTTTTGTTTTGTTCTGCCTGTGGCTCTGCAGCGTTTAGGGTTTAGGGTTATTAGGAGGAAAGGTGTAGAATGGTGAGGGCTGCAATATCTTCGGAGGCTTCAGGATATATTCGTCAAGGGCCCAGGAAGGGATCAAAGAGAAAAGACTGTCCACATGGGTTTTGACTTTGGTTTTCGGGCGTAGAGATTTGTCAAGCCTGCACTCAGGGTATTCCAGATCCCGACGGTGCTGTTCTTTCTCTCCCTCCAAGCCGGTTTAGAACCTAAATTCATGCTTGCTCTTTCTACGGGCATGTAGATACTGGATGTTGCAATGACTCACAAAGCAAAGCGGCCTGTCTTTTGTAGTGGCGAAGCCCAGAACCATAGAGCCCTACAATCAACAAGAATGTTCCTTCAAAGCTCCGGACCCCCAAGGCCCCCTATGCTCCTAAGCCCCTAAGCCCCTAAGCCCCTAAGCCCCTAAGCCCCTAAGCCCCTAAGCCCCTAAGCCCCTAAGCCCCTAAGCCCAAACCCTAAACCCTAAACCCTCCAGTCCCTGTAACTTGAGATCATTAAGAAATCATCCAAAACAGAAACTCCTCGAAACTTCCCCGGACCTGAACCCGTAAGCATTTCAGTCAAACCTAAACCCTAAACCCTAAACCCTAAACCGCTCTCAGGCTTTCAGCTTACCGGCTCTGGCCTCGAAGCGCTCGAGCTTCGGCTCTTACGGCGCTTGCTGAGTTCACAGGATCGGTTTCGTCACTTTACGGTGCGAACTTTCGCCGACGTGTTGCGAGAAAGTGAAAAGGCCTGCAGTTCAGGCATTAGGGTTTAGGGTTTGGGGTTTGGGGTTTAGGGTTTAGGGTTTAGGGCTTCTTGAGGTCCACGAGTCTAAGGGTACCCTTCATGATCTTCAGGGCATCTGAATGCAAGGGTACTGGCAGAGGCCGGGGGGGGGGAAATAGGTAGGGTCTGAAGGCTTATAGGGTTCAAGTGTTTTTAGCTGTGCTGAGCTTCATGAGCCCGGAAAACCGGCGCGATACAGCCAGCAAAGCCCTTGAACCCAAAACTGTACACTGGTAGTTTCAACCCTTGAACACTCCGCAGCTTGAAGCCCAGTAAACCCTCAAGTCACTTGAAGACATCCAGCGTCGGTCTTTATCCCAGAAGGCGACCCAGTACCTAGGTAGGCCCGTGGGATATTATTGATTTTCCCTTTTGTTGAAGAGGATCATATTTATGCACATTTTTCAGAGGAGTTTAAGGGCCATCCTAGTACAAACGCTTCAGACAAACCGTTCTCTCCGAAACCTCCCGAGTCTGAAGGGGCGTTTGGGCTTCAATTTCTCAGGGTTCGAACAAAGGTAAGCCTAGGGTTTAGGGTATAGGGCTTCTAGGAGTCAAGCTCCTATAACCTCCTCACTACTTGAGATCTGCACCGCCGCCTTCCTGCTTAAAGGTCACATGGAAAAAGGTAAGTATTGGCATAGTTTCGTGTGGCAAGCCACCTCAATGATGTTCAAGCTTACGATGGTTTTGCTCCAACTTTTAGCCTTAGCCCCAGTCTCTCAGCCGCATTGCGCACGCAGAGCCCGTAAGAGATGAACAACGCAGACTCATCCAGACCACATAGAGGGATGAGAGCACAAGGTCAGCAATGAAGCCTTTGGCCTTAGGCTCGTGACTTACAGCGAGGCCTGCTGGGCAAGGAAGAGCACGTCCACCCTCCGACACAATCTCAGGGACTTCCTCTCAGGTTGAAGGCTTTTGGGAGCTTCGATGTTGCGCACCCCATCATGGCCTGTAGGGAAGAACAGACATTCCAGACATTCTGTGCCATTTTGGGGGCTTGACTGGCGAGCACCCCCCCCCCCCCCCCTTTGCAAACTGGTCGCAGTGGACAACCTGTGAAAACCCTGACGGCCTAAGCCCACATTTCCTTCTTTCTAGGTCTGACCCAAAAAATCCCACTGGTGCACCCTTGCGGTGCAACAGGAGCGGTGCCTTTTTGGACCTCGGCTCCTGACAAACCTGGCTGAACGAAAATTGACTTCAAGCCCCTCTGACACAACCCCTGGTGATGCCCCAAATGACTTCAGAAAGTGCCTCTTCTGGCCCTTTCACCCTAAACCTTAAACCCTATGAAACCCCAAACCCTGAGCCCTTAGCCTGAAATCCCGAAGATTCCATCTTTCAATCTTGCGCAGGTATGAAGCCGGCTGCACAGGATGCTGATTCGGGCGCGCCGTGGCCGAATGTGGGCACCTCCCTAACTTCAGCCAGCCCTCTTGAAAATATCCTCAACGTAGGGGTTAGGGTTCAGGGTTTAGGGTTTGGGGTTTAGAGAGGTGCCGTCAACTCTTCGCTGATACGCACTTTCCTTCGAAAGCCCTAAACTCCCTAAGACCGCCTCCATAAGCGCCAGCCCACAACCTTAAACCCTCATGAGCCCATCAATCCCAGCCCAGATGATTGTTTAGGGTGCATTATTTAATTCTAAATAATTATTATAAGTAATTAGATTTGGTATTGATAAGAATCTTTTATGGTTAAAATAAATTATAATAACGAAAGAGATTAGGGAGTTCAGGGGAAGAGTTCTGCCATCAGCTCAGGTGAAGCGGCTGATACGCATCTGCCGGGGCCTTTTGGGAGTCGGGTCTGATCGACTTCGAGCGCTAGGGTGTCAGAAAGGCTTTTGGGGTGTCGCCAGGTGCCGAAGCGTTCAAGCAGACGGTTGCTAAATCAGAAAGTGCCCCTGCACGTCGTGCACATGCTTACTAGAGAAGGGATTCGACGAGGCTGCAACCCCAAATCCTACAACCCCCTAACCCCCGTCCCTGTCCGAAGCGGTGTGAGTGCTTGCAGACAGGTCTCGCGCAGCAGGCATCCTCTCTCTATTTTTTGTTTTTAACTTTTTAACCCCAAACCCTAAACCCTAAACCCTAAACTCTCTCTATGTTTAAACCCCCGGCTCAGGTCTCAACCTTGGCGTGCGCGTGAACAAAGCCTTTCTTCTGCTCACCAAGCGCCCGGGCAGCAGCGGCTGCAGGAACCCTGAAAACCCTAAGCTCTCTGTTCCCCTGCACCCTAAGGTTTTGGGGTATAGAGGTTTAAGGCTTATAGAGCCTTCTTGCAGCGGCAGTTCCCTGAGTGCTTTGTTGACTTCCACATCGGCCTCAAGCCATGTGGGTTTAGGGTTTGGGGTTTAGGGGTTTAGGGTTTAGGGTTTAGGGTTAGGGTTTAGGGTTTTGGGTTTTGGGTTTTGGGTTTAGGGTTTTGCTAATGACCCAAGTGAACCCGAAACCCGACAACCCCACAGGTGTCTGCAGACCCTGCTGCTGCCGCAGCTGAGTTCCTACCAGCGCCTCTTCAAGCACTACGGGTCCTTTTGGGGTGTTTCTTGGGCTTAGGGTTTAGGGGGGAGATGGAGACTTGGGGGTGACGGGATTGAGGCTTGGGAGTTTAGGGTTTAGGGTTTAGGGTTTAGGGTTTAGGGTTTAGGGTTTAGGGATGAAGATCCTGCATCTCGGAGGTTCGACGCAGGGGTTGATTTGTTGACCAGCGTGGCACCCTCCCCCTGTTGCCAACTTCGACGTCAGAGACTCCAGGGCTTGGCAGCTGAGAGATCGGCTTTCAGATGCTTAGAGTTTAGGGTTTAGGGTTTAGGGTTTAGGGTCTAGGGTTTAGGGTTTAGGGTTTAGGGTTTAGGGCTTGTGGTTAAGGATAGATTTTGGGCTGCCAGTCTCTAAAGGTTTCGGAATAGGGCGTTCATCTTGAAGAGTATTGGGAGTTGTTTAGGATGTTCCCCCTTATGCTAACAGTCCTCAATAGGGATGAAAAAAATAAGGGGGGGGGGACTATAATCCCTATTAAGGACTGTTGTATGAGGGGGGAACATCCCAAGGGATTGTCAACGTGGAAGGTACACGCAACACGGAAAGTTGACCTTTTGTCTTCTGGCAATGCAAATCACGTGGAGGAATTCCTTGCTTGGATTTAACCTTGCTGTCTGGCGCCAGGCTCTCTTAGCGCTACCATGCCACCCAACATTGTTGTTAGAGGATTTAGGGTTGAGGGTTTATGGTTTAGGGGAAACAAAAAAGGTTAGGGTTTGAGGATTCTTTGGTGTTTGAACACCCTGAAGCTACCAGAGCCCACCAGCAACCCAATGCACTCCTGGTTGCCACCTGCCGCGTCTCAGGTACCGCGTGTATTTCATATACATCCTGCAGGCGCGCGCTGAGGGGTCCACAGCAAGCCAGAGAGAGAGAGAGAGCGAGCGAGCGAGAGAGTGCCAACAGGCCAAGCGCCAGGTTCGCAGTAGGATGGGTTCTTGATCGAGATGACATGAGCCAAGACTCCGGCCTTTATCGTCGTATCCGACAGGATCAAAGGACATCCCCCACACGAACCCCAGGTTCCAAGCAAGCGTAAGCTGAAACACGCAAATTCATCAGGGCAACTTGAAGAAACTCGAAGAGCCAGACAAACTCGAAAGTGTTGCCTCATGAAGTACTGCGACAAGCCTTTCCATGAGCCCTCACATGCCTGGATAGCCCATCAAGAGTCCATGTTTTCTAGGTTTTTGCGTGGGCGGGGGGGGGGGGGGGGGGGGTTACCCAAGGGGTCATTGCGACATGAAGTGGGCTGACCTCTGAATCACAAAATGGCGTGCCCCACCCGCACTCATTCCGCAGCCTCGGAAACAGTAAACTGCGACATTAACCTGCATCTCCTGAAACCTAGACCCAAGCCTTCTGGAGAGAAAGACATGCGGGAGGTTTGGGTCTCTCTGTTCGTGTCACCAGCAGCTGCCATCAGCTAGGCAGCATACCTAACCGACGCACCCCACGAAACAAAGGCCACCCCGAAACCCATGCGAAACAAGGGTCAGATTCAAATTGCTGTATTGGTGATTGCAGATAGGGTTTCTTTTAACCATTGGTGAATGTATGCCCGCTTGTGGATACTACTCCTAATCCCTAAAACCCGAAATCCGAAGACCTTCTAACCTTACCCCCCAAAACCCCTAAACCCCCCCGAAGACCCCTAAACCCTAAACCCTAAACCCTAAACCCCAAACCCCTGAAGCCACGTCCTCTACTTTTACGAGGTTCTGGGAAGTGACATCTTCCAGCTTCTGATTGCCAAGTGTGCCTTGGCATGGCAGCCCCCTATCCTAATAGGATCCTAGAACTGTGCGTGTTGAGGTTTAGGGTTTATTGTTTAGGGTTTAGAGTTTAGGGTTTAGGGTTTAGGGTTTAGGGTTTAGGGTTTAGGGCAAAGTGCTTAACGTTTAGAGTCTAGAGTTTAGGGCTTGGTTCGTTCTTCTGTTTTGGGAGGGGGCGGGCGGGAGAACTTGGGCCTTACAACCTTCTGAGCGCTCATGTAGAACAACGCTCCGTTGTTGGTGGGGTTTGGGGCTGAGCACAGCGCCATCACGGGGTCTAGGGTAGAGGGCCTAGGGTCCGAGGATCAGAAGCCTTGCATGTGGGTGCAAAGTCGAATTATAACCACAGATACATGGTCTATTCTCTAAACTGTCCTCCCCCTTTTCAGGGTCAGGGTTTAGGGTTCGGCCCGCAGGCATTTGCCTTTTGCCGGCACCCGAAACCCGAAACCATCAATGTGGGATTGGCCCGTTTGGAACATGCTAAGCCCTATGCCCCGCACGCCGCATGAAGCCTCCTAGCCGTGCCTGGTGGGTCGGGAATGCTCAACCCTAAGCTCTATAAACCCCCTAAACCCTCAACCCTAAACCCTAAACCCTAAACCCCAAACCCTAAACCCTAAACCCTAACTCTAAACCCCAAACCCTAAACCCTAAACCCTATGCCATCCTTGAGCCTAAGCCCTAAACCAAAGTGGTGCATGGTTTTGGGCCTTGGACCTCAAGCCCCCTGAGGCATCCAGTCGTACTACTATGTCAACAACCTCTTGCTGCTCCTCTCTCTGGGTAGCTTCCTGCCCTTCCTGAGAGTGGCCACTCGGCGAGTTGTTGTAAATCCTACATCCTGAGCCTCATAAGCTCTACATACCAATCCTCTTACCCTAAGGAGGGTTTAGGGTTTAAGGGGTTTACCTTGCACACCCCAACCCTCCCCCCTAAACCCAATTGGTCATTGGTCAGGCGGGTGTGTTTGTTAGGGTTTGGGGTTTAGGGTTTAGGGGTTCAGGGCCGAGGCGTGGGCTTGACCTTGTTTAGAAGGGCCCCCGCGGGGTTCAAATCAGGTTTCCTTCTCATCGGGTTTCAAGAGGCTGCGGTGGGCTTGGGATCCGAGTTCGCCCGAACCCACAAACCTTAAACCCTAAGCCCTAAACCCTAAACCCTAAACCCTAAACCCTAAACCTGGGATGGTTTCGGGTTAAGCGGTGAAGCCTGAAGGACTTTAGGATTCAAGTTCCGTGTCGGGATTCGGGATGTTCAACCTCCAAGGCCACCAAAGGTAATCTCCCAGATGCCAATCAGGCCTACGACCACAGCCCTTGAAATCAAAAGTCTCGCATATGATAATATGATAAGACCACAAGTAGATGAATGTCCATGCTTCGTCGCCTAAATTTTTCAACATATATATATATATACACATGCATGCATTGCGCCTTGTGCCCTAAACCCGAAGCCCTCAGCCCTAAGCCCTAAGCCCGAAGCCCTGAACCCTAAACCCTAAACCCTAAACCTCATGCAGTCTCTAGACACCCCATGAGCCCCCCCCCCCCCCCCCTGTGTGCTGCCAAGCCTTGCGGAGTCTCGTAGCTCAGACTGCAGAGAGGTGCCTGGAGTTGACCAAGCCGAAGCCTAGAACTCCCGTTGGGGTTTAGGGTTTAGGGTTTAGCGTTTAGGGTTTAGGGTTTAGGGTTGGGAGTTGAGGGTTGAGGGTTTAGGGCTTAGGGCTTTGGCTTTGGAAGTACCCAAGACCTTAAAGCCTTAAAACCTAAACCCTCCATCCGCTCTGCTTTACAGCAAGGTGTACAAGCTGTGGACCTACATCCCCTGTCCACCCATGGCCACTTGGCTGTTTGAGGGGTCTGGCAGTCGGCGAGACTCTAAACGCTACCGAAACCCCAAACTCTAAGCCCTCAGCCCTAAGCCTTAAGCCCTCAGCCCCAAGCCCTAGTAGGCCCTCAGCCCTAAGCCCTAGAAGCCCCACAAGCCCTACACCACGGATGAGCCTGTGAGCTTGAATATGTTTAGGCTTCTGTTCTTCCGCGCCATTACGGTTCGGGGAGGCCCTGACCCTTTCAGCTTGGTTTAGGGTTTAGGGTTTGGGGTTTAGGGTTGAGCTTTGGTTTTGGGTTTAGGGTTTAGGACACTAAATCCTGCGCACGGAGCCCTAAACCCTATACACTCCTTATACCCTTAACCCTCAAAATCAACAAACTCTACGCACACCCTTCAGCCCCCAAGCCCTTAGCTCTGTAAGTTTCGGATGCTTTGGGTGCAGATGGACACTCAGGCATCACTGATTTCCAACGTGGCCTTGGTGCTGACGCTGGTAATGCTGCTCATCCTAGGCCGCGGGGATCAGGGGTGGGGTTCAGGATATCGGAATATTTCATCGTTTAGGGGAAAGGGCCCGAAGCCTCAACCCTAAACCCGTTTGGGGTTGTAAGTGTAGATGGCTGAGACTGGGTTTGGAACCGTAGGTTGTGGGTGTTAATCAAGGTCACCAGGTTGCTAGAAGGCAAAAGCCAGGCGTGATGAACACGATTCACCAGAGCCACCCTTCTCAATCCTCGCGGCCTTAGTTTTCAAGGTTCTAGGATTTGGGTTCTTCGGACTTGCACGGGGTCAAGCTGCATAGTAAGCACCATCATGTATAGAAGCCGCCGGGCAAGCCGTCCCTGCGATCAGGAATCAGGAGAGCGGCCTTTGGGGAAAGAACGCGCGAGTTGTCAACAGCACCACTAAAACCCACTAAGAGCGCAACTAAAACTTGTTTCGGTGCAGCCGCGAATCCTGTGCTCCAAAAGACGCATTCAGAAACCCAACTATGGGCTAACCCCGAAACCCTAAACCAAAGGGTCAGAGGTTCCGTTTAGGGCTGAGGATCTCGGTTTTTTGTTAATAAGAAGCTCCTAGGCTTCATATAGGTCTCAAAGCCTTAAAATCTCTTTAGCTATCCCCGCAGTCCATGGCCGTGACTTATGTAGGGCTTGGGGTTTATGAGGTTATCGGGGTTTAGGGTTTGGAGTTTAGTCTGGGGTGTTGGAGTTCCCTCCCGCCTTAACTACAAAGACGGCTAACAACCCCAACCCCTAAACCCTAGACCCTAAACCCTAAACCCTAAACTCTGCAGGGTTTGGGGTGACCGATCCGATGCAGGATCGGGGACTTCGACGCAAGCCAACTCTTCGGCCAACGTCTTCCAGGCGTAGGGGCCGCTGTCGCCCCAAACCCCAAACCCCCCCCAAACCCCTAAATAAACCCTCCCAAACCCTAAGCCCTAAGCCCTAAGCCCAAACCCCTAAACCCTAAACCCCTAACCCCCCCAAACCTCCAGACCTTAAGCCCTAAACCCAAACAAACCCTGAACCCTGAACGCGAACCCGAGATTGTCCCTGATGCCGGGGTTTGGGGTTCAGAGCTTCGGGTTTAGGTTTTTTTTTTTTTTTTTTTGGGGGGGGGGGGGGGCTGCAAATGACATCGGCGCATGAACGCGGCTGCTCATCATCTTGTAGGCTTGCTTTCCTTGATACCATTGAACAACCGCGAAGGCCGTAGGCCTTGATGTCGGGGTTTGCCCGAAAGGCTCCTCTGTCCTATGGAGTAGCTTTCTGGGGTATCGTATACTTCTCTCCCCTATGAGTATCCGCCTATACAGGAAGTATAACGGAGCCTTTAGGGTTTAGGGTTTAGGGCTAGGGCTTAGGAGTTCGCAGGTCTACATCTACGCCATGATGATATGGCCCTGGCTGGTCTTGACTTCCGTGGTTTCGCGGCTCTTCATCGAGAGACAGGCCCTTGAGGGTTTAGGGTTTAGGGTTTAGGGTTTAGGGTTTAGGGTTTAGGGTTTCCTCTTCGGGTTGTTTCCAGGGTTTGGAGTTAAGAAGCCTTGGGAGCTTAGGCCGAGAAACCCTAGAAGCCCTACAAACCCTGGAAGGCCCGGCAAGCCCTATAAGCCCTAAGGTGTTTACGGGGGTGAGTAGGGTGTAGAGTTGGGTTTGGTCATTTGGGGGGGGGGGGTTTGCGATATCGCACAACCTCTCATGCAACGACAATTATGTGGAAGATCCCCACCCTTTGTCCCCCGTGTTTAAATCCTTATTTCCTTGAGTTGCTTTCTTTGATTCGCCGTTGAAGTCACCCACCAGAAAGAAACCCAACTCAGATCAACTTCTGTTGGGGGCCTAAACGCGACGTGCGGGGATTCAGCTTGCAGCCATAAGGTAGCCCCGTACTACTTCTTGCACTCTAAATCTACAGGTTGTATAATCTGCATGTTGGGATGGATTCGACCTGGGGAAAAAACGAGGTTGTCTCCCCCCAACCCCTCCACAAAAGAGTGAATAACAAACAACTCCACACTCCGCAAACCCCACGTGCCACAATTCAACCCTCAATCCGAACGAGCCCCTGGTAAGCAACGCTTCGTCAAGGCACCGACCTGAACCCGAAAACCTTAAGTCACACCTGCTACACACACACTCACACACCAAACACCCTAAACCTTAAACTCCAAACCCGAGACACACACACTCACGCACAAGACCTCCGCAAACAGGCCGGACGAAATCCCTTCTCGCCTGTGAAGGCAAGGCTGCTCTGGGGGAGGGGGGTCGGTTATAAGGCTAAGAGTTGCTTTTTCTTGAAATCATTAATCTTCAGGTCCGGGGAAAGTTTCTGGGAGTCTCTTTTTGGACTTTTGCGTACTTTCAAGTTGCAGGGGCTTGAGGGTTTAGGGGCTTCAGGCAGAGTCCTAAACTTCTGCGTGAACCTGATAGGGCCCTGAATCCTGGCATGCTCTTTCTACGAACCCTGCGATCCGAACCCTAACCCCTAAGGGCCCTCTGAAACTCACAGAAAACTTGCCTCAAGCAAATTGTCCACACCAAATCACCCTCAGTTAAGGAAGAAAATTCTCTACCCTGAACCCTGAATCCCATTCCAAACCCCCCAAGCCCCAAATCCCAAATTCTGAACCTCAAAATGCTAGTTTCTAAAACCCTTAGACCTTGCCTGGGACTTTTTTACCTACAGTTGAGGAGTAACTGCCCCTGAACTAGTAGGTATTTCTCATAAAACTGTAGGCAAAGAGCTAAACCCCGAACCCCAAACACTAAACCCTAAACCCTAAACCCTTGTGAAAGCCCTAAACCCTAAACACTAAACCATAGAAAGTTTAACCCTAAACCTCCCTAAGCCCGGGAGGACCTTCCAATTCTTGGTTTCTGCGGCGCGCTCTCGGGAGCCACCTGGGTTGGAATTGAGGGGTTTTGGGGCTTGTGGTTCCTATAGGGTTGTAAGGTTTATGGGGTTTTGACATGAATAATGCAACCCACTGAGATAGCGTTGCTACATGCATCGCAAGAAAACGTATCATCATTATGCATGAACATGATGGTTTGAAGGATCATTGGACAATTTAACTGAAGGCAATGTCTGGCTTATCGGAGGTTCCCACGGCTTGGAGTGCCGTGGTATCCGGCTGCACCTGCCTCCCCTCCCAACCCAAGCTTGCTCTTTTAGCCTGCGCAAACTTGATTTGTAGAATTGTATAGAAATTATGATCATGCCCCCCCCCCCCCCCTCCCAACCTTGCTTTCTGACCCGTGCAAGCTTGCTTTGCAAAGAACATCAGCCCAGGAAGGTTGAATGGCGTTAAACACGTTGTTTGCTGATGAGATCTAGGAGTCTTCTCGTCCCCCCCTCCCCCCCTTCCCCCCAGCAACCGGCTTGTGCACAATGTGTATATATTTAGCTCGCGCAAGTTTGCTCTGCAATGAAGATTATGCCATGAAGAGAACTAGCATTTTACAAAGCATACGAATCCTTTCCAAACTCGTCAGGCGAATGCTGCTAAAATAGAGGTTTTCCTCCTATAATCGTAGCAGAAAAGGTTTTGCCTACTAAGATATACAGAAGATAGAGGTTGTCCTATCAAAAGTAGAGAACGACAGGTTTTCATATGGCAGTATAGAGAAAATAGAGGTTTTCTTAGCACAGCCGAAAGAAATGGGACTCCAAAAGGGGCTGGCACAAAAACGGGTTTGACAAAAAACTTCCACCTCGCAGCAACAACCAAACAAACGCGGGGCCCCGCAGCAGCAGCAAAACGCCCCGCGGCAAAGTACGTAGCACTCTTACTGTGTAAGGAGAACAGGGGGATTATCAGATTTGGATTGGAAAAATTGGGTTTTGAAGGAGCTCAAGGTTCATCGTGGTCCGCAAAACTTCTAGGTTTCGAGGGCTGTGAGGGTTTTCGGGCTAACGGATTTCTAGGGTTACGAGGGGTTCCCGGGATGTAGGGTCTGACGCTTGAAGCCCTAAATTGGGCTTATTGAAATGGGCCCTACGAACCCCAAATATAGACCCCCAATAGAAGGGGCCCTTATAAAAAGGACCCCCAAAAGTGCCCCCAATTTCGGAAACCCCCAAATCTGTCAGGGTTCCGTGTCGAAATCAAGTTTTTCCCTGAGTTGTCTTTTTTTAACTTTACTTCAAAAGACGTGAATTTCAGTGTGCAGGCTGGCTTGGGGGTTTAGGATTTGTAATTAGGGTTTAAGGTCGAGGCGGGTGCGTGGTTGATCTCGGAATTCTGGAGGACTAGCATTTAGGGCTTGGGGGTTTTTGGGTTCTTGGGTTTGGGGTTTGGGGGGTTTGGGGTTTGGGGTGTAGGTTTAGGGGTTCAGAGTCTTCATTGGGACTGCCTGGGGCCCAACCCGACCCTTTCTTCGGTAGGGTGCTGGTGGAGTTTGGGGCTTCGAGTTTAGGGCCTAGAATACTTTTCAGCCCTTTATACGCGCAAGGCGCTCTGGCGCCAGGTGCCGACGACGGAGTTTAGGACTTCGGGTTTAGACAGTCTAGAAGTTTGCCGTTTAGGGATCTTGTTTTGCCCTTAGCCTAAGCCTAAAAAACCCCTGTTTCTTTGTCCTCAGTCGCTCAGCCAAGGTAATGGCGTTTATGGCCCTGAAGAACCTGACCATCGTCGACTGCCTTGTGCTCTCTGCGCCCTTGGAGCATACAGGGGGGCTGGCTTTGGGGTGTTCGGGGCTTGTCGGCTTTTTGTAGGTTAGAGTTAGAGTTGAAGGGTTTTTAGATTTAGACCCTCAGGCCTTGACAAGAAAAAAGCCGCTTATACACCCTAAACCGTGGATTGAACATGCACAGACTCTCACAATCACGCGCCGTCCGGCAAGACGCCCTGAAACATCGGTTCAAAACGCCAATCAGCCCCTAAATCACCACAACTCCTCGTATGCCCTCGCAGGCTCGTGAAAAACCCCTGCTAAACCCGAAGCCGTACCTATCGGTGGTTGTGTCATAGTTTGCTTTGTCGGTCTTGTTTTGTTTCGGCTTTATAGTTCGCTGAAACAATGGTCGCGGGAACACAGTCTTAGATGAAAGTATCATGAAGGAACAGCCGAAAAGGCAATTCACAAACAGATGCCGATCGACTTTGGACCTGAGGCCCTAAAGCTTAAAACCCTGAACCCTAAAGCCCCCTGGTTTTGAGCCCCAGAGCAACAACTGACACAACC